ACGCAGTCAGAATTCAGAATTTCAGAATTCAGTATTTTTTTTTTTTTTATGGTATCAGGAGGCAAACGAGCAGACGGGTCACCTGATGGTAAGCAACTACCATAACATACCATTATCATAATATATCTATTCTATATAAATGTAGACAGCTTTTGCCCATAGCTTTATTTAGATTTCTTCGTCCCTTTCCATGCCTCTGGAATAATAGCACTATTTATCTGTATGAATGAAACTCTTTGTCCGTATGTCTGTTCCTTTGACTTGTCTGCAAAAGTTCATAATATTTATTATATTTCCAACTCCTCCAATTTACTTCTGATTAATTTCGTTGCGGGTTCCAAGACAGTTTACCTTTTCCTCGGACTTCCCGAGGGTCATAATTCGGCGTGTTCGTGGGCCACTGCTGTTGATCCTAGTGTACAGGAGTGTACTGTAAGTATTGGACGGGAGGGATTGGTCCCAAAAAAAAATCCTCGACTGTTTAGCTTTTAGTTTTTCGTAAAAACGTAATAATGAGAACAGAAATAATGTTTGTTTTTAGTTAAGATTTATCATATTATCATGAACAAACCCTATGTATACGAAACAAGTTTCCGCCATTGCGGCAGAGCGACAAGGACGCCCGCCAATCAGAGCGTTCAACTCGTGCGGCAGGAAGCGTTGCCCAATCACGCGCGGTTACCTTCCATTCTTTACCAATCACGACTCCGACCGTTATGCTTTCTATCCTTGTTTGAACTACCTATAGGTGCGACTGTGCTTCGATTTTGATTGCTTCAGCAATACTACATTGTAATATCGGTATTTAAAGGTTTATTGATGTTAGAGTTGGGTAACGGGGCTGTATAGCTGTCATCATGGGCAAACTACAGCCCGCGGCTCACGAACGGTTGCAGTACGGCCCGCGCGACTATCGATCCAGAAGATCATCATCATAATCGATAGTTTATTTTATTTTATTTTATATAGAGCTTGTTGAAACCTATAAGTCAATATATAATTTTAATTAAGAAAATCATTTTTTTTTAATAAATGATTAATCATCAACAGCCATTACTAATCCACTGCTGGACATAGGCCTCTCCTTAGAAAGGAGGGTTTGGCCAGACGGGTTGGTATAGGGTTTGTTTCAAGTTTTCCTTCTCTTGGCAGTGCTGTTGTCCTGCGTAGTTTGTTCCCTTAGTCGCCTCTTACGACACCCACGGGATAAATAGGGGTGATGACATTCCGTATACTTAATCCGTCACCACACGGGTTAATATTATAGTTAAAAAGGAATGAACCTGGCCCCCTACAGATTTCGTTTCACAAAATTGAAATTCCTGGTTTAGTGGTTAGTGATCTGGCTTTAGTAGTGTGAAGTGGTCTGGCTTGAGGTTGTGGGTCCCACTCACGTAATAGATGGCCATTCGAGCACATATTCCTAAATGAACATAGTAAAATATTTTTAAATACATATATTTTGTAGGTTGATTACACCCAGATAGAACAGATGAAGTCGAACCCACGGCCTATGTCTTAGCAGTTAGGATCCCTAACCATTAGATCAAGAGGCCCCTCGGTATTTAGACGTTGTTTATAATACAATAGAGTATATAATATATTAGTGACATTGCCCAAGAGAAGCAGTCTAGTTAGCCAAGTCCAAGTCCTTGGATGTAACAGTGAAGTAATGTTTTAGCAATACCTGTTTCGTAACATAATTACCTTTAAAAAAAGTATGAAACTCCAAACCTTCAAGAAAAGAGCGTACTCCTTCCTCAAAGGCCGGCAACGCGTTTGTCACTACTGAGACTTTCATGGGCGGTGGTGCCCGCTTTCCATCAGGTGATCCGTCGGCTCGTTTGCCGCCTCTATCATGAAAAAAAAGTATCATATTGCGGGCTCGATTCCCGTCCCGTTCAGTTATATATACATGTATATTTGACACTCACAGCCTACTAGAAATGGGTTTTAATTACTCACGTAATGAAGGACAAGTCTGATAACGTGTGCCGGGTAGTTTGGATATGAGAAATTTGGTTATATTATAAAGGGTAAGAAGGGAAGGGCTATTGGTTATACGGATAGGGTTGGGCTTGTCAGCAATGGCTCTAGCAGCTCAAGGTATACCCACCCTACCTACCTATACATATAAAATCATACTGAGATGGAATAATGTGTGTGGAATTGAAGCCTACCTGATGCGAAGGCAATTGTGATGTTGCGGACATGTGTCACGTATGACGGATTTGGCTAAGCGCCTCTTGTACTCGGCAATTGAGGAGGGCAAATGGAAGGCTGGACAACTCGGACAAATCCTAAGTTATAAGGATGTGCTGAAGCGGCACCTCAAAAAGTGAGACATGGATCCCTTGGTTAGGGAGAAGCAGGCTAAGGGCAGGCCCGAATGGAGATCTCGGATCCAATCCAAAGTGAACGCGTTTGAGGAAAAGCGTCGCGCCGACCTCGATCAGAAGCGCGACGACCTAAAAGCCCGACCACCTCTGGCGATCAGGTGTAATTACCATAATCATGTGCTCTCATGCCCAGGCACTATGTACAAGGATCTTCACAAACAAGATCGACTGCATAAAACATGAGAGCACACGAACGACGACAGTAGTTGCAGAATGCAGTCGCCATGGCTGAAACCAGATCATCATCATCACATCTAGACAAATCAATAAAATTGGAGTGTCTGTTTGTAAAATTAAAATAACCGCTTTTTACTAAATGCATATGTATGTTAACACGGTACATATGCCAAAATATTTTTTTTTACAATTTTTGTCTGCCTGTCTGTTTGTTCCGGGTAATCTCCGGAACGGCCCTGACCGATTTCAACGGGACTTTCACTGGCAGATAGCTGATGACATAAGGAGTAACTTAGGCTACTTTTTTTAGACTAGCTTCGCCCCGCGGCGTTGCCCGCGGTTATAGCAACAAACGCGGGCAACACCGCGGGTCTCAGCTAGTTTAAAATAAGTTGCCCTGACTCACTGAGTCATTTTTTTTTATGAAATAGGGGGCTTTGATTCATCAGTGCAGACCCTAACCCCCTGGGGCTACCACTTAAAATTATGTTGTTGTTTCTTGTGTAGAAAGGATTTTTGGATAAAATAAGGGATCAACGGTTGTATGGAATTTCGTTCGTCCGTTCGTTCATTTCCTAAGTTAGACACACGACTTAATAAGTTAAGTTTTAAGTTTTTTAAAGACAACTCCCAAGGAATAGGAATATATCCTGTGTCGCGGAGTACTTTACAAACATACATGAAACGGACACAAAGAACACCCAGACTTAGAACAACAATTTGTGGATCACACAAAGTGTCGTCCCATGTGGGGTTTGAACCCACAACACTCGGCGTAGTAGAAAGCGGCGTGGCGACCGCTTAAACCACTACGCCATCCGTGCAGTCAATAAATAATAATAATAGTAACAAATAATCCATCCGCATCAAATCCGCAGGCACTAGCTAATTGAGAATACATATTTCTAATGTAATACGCATGTCAAAACTGAAGTGTCCTTGGAACTTGAACTGTAATGCGTGCTAATAGTTGCGAAGGTCATTTACAAGGGACTTGTTACTTTTTGGAGCGAGAATTCGCGATTTTGTTATGAAATTGTTTATCGTAATCGTGCGAGTATTGTTTAAGCATAAACTAAAACTCAAAATATTTGCAATCGTCTGTTGTGTAGACTAAAGACTAAAGACTAAAGACTGTAGACTAAAGTCATAGAACAACACACACAATAGCAACTATCTCTGTTCTGTCAAATATTTAGAAAACTAAATACCTATCTACGACCGCCCATAGTTACTTATTGAAGATTTTAATTTGATATACTTCTCTACCGGTCACTGTGAAGTGGTGTGTAGGTATCCGATACAATCACATGGGCAGCCAACTTAAATGAGTTTATTGCTAGCTTTTAGACCCCAGAAGACTTCGGTTACCTCTTAAACAGTAGGTGCCGCATCATTGCGTGCAAACACACCCCCCCCCCCCCCCCCTCCTTCCTCCCTTCTATATCACTCGCTTTTGTGAAATAAATGTAGATTGTACTTGTTAATAAAACTAATGTTACTCTACATTTGTAGTTCTACAAATAAATTTTTCAGAACCTCCTTAAAGATCATTACTTACATTCAAATTAACTAGATATTTCTATATGGATATTGTATGTATAAGTACATGTAGGACATGACTTACCTCAGTATTACTATACAGTAGTAGTAGTAGTCCATCCCCCAAGTCGTGTGGTGACGGATTAAGAATACGGAGTGTCACCATTCCTATTTAACCCGTGGGTGTCGTAAGAGCCGAATAAGGGAGCAAACTACGCAGGACAACAGCACTGCAAAGAGAAGGACAACATGCCTCTACCGGCATAGCCTCAGAGATTACTGACCCGCTCAACGATGACGATGACCCCCCACGATGACAACGTGAGGACACAGTTGGGGGGAAAATCGAAACAAACCCCTTTTTTTTTTAACGTGTGGAAATCCCCTCGGACCGACTTAGGGCCGACTAAGAGACCACATTACAAGACAATAGCACTACAAAGAGAAGGAAAACTTGAAACAAACCCTATACCAACCCGTCTGGCCAGCGTGGTATATTAAGCCAAAATCTCTTTTCTAAAAAGAGGCCTATATTCAGCAGATTTTTAATGGAATATGGGCCAAACGAGCAGACGGGTCACTTGACGGAAAGCGACTACCGCTGCCCATGAACGCCTTCAACTCAGGAGTCACAAGCGCATTGCCAGGCTTTGGCTAAGGAGCAGTGGGGACGTGTAAAGGCTTTTGATGATGAAAATGATAGTCAATCCTGGTTGCCTACAAGACCACCCATTGTACCGTTTTATATCTTAATATTGTGCAATACTTTATTGGTGTGCCGTAAATATAATGTATCTATTTATAAAGGGTATTTGTATCTGGATGTAAGCACCAGCTGTTTTGTCTGTTATTGTCTTAATGAGTGGTCTCTATCTGTTCCAGTATCAACAAGATACGAACCCTAGTGGACTTCGCAGGATGTCGCCGGCTGAGGGAGCTGTACGTGCGCAAAAACGAGATCGGAGACCTCAGCGAGATCAGGCATCTCAGGAGGCTGCCGGATCTGACGTCACTGTGGCTCGACGAGAACCCCTGTACGCAGGTTCCAGAGTAAGTTCATATTAAGGACACTTTATCATTCAAAACCTGCCACTCTGACAGGAGGATGTCTCAGAATGTCACGATTTGGATTATAGGCTATTTAACAATTAAAAGTCTCCTAACACCCTATTTTAAATACTGGCCGTAGTGCATTCAAGCTGAGCAAATTTTGTATGTAGCCCATAACAAGAATGGCAATACATCGACTGACAGGGTATTGCAAGAAATTGACATGTGTGCGTGATATGAAACTGCTATTAACACGAAGATCGTTCTTAAGACAGCCAAAACCCAACACTAACCAGACTGACGGGCCTGTTAGCCTAGCGGTTAGTTACCCTGACTGCTAAAGCGGAGTTCGATTCCCGCCCAGGACAAATAGTTGTGTGATGACCACGATCATTTGTTATGTATCTGGGTGTGATTTATCGGTAATATCTGTGTTGAGACTAGTCTAAATATTAAAAAAAAGTATATATATATAGAAAAGTATGTTTATCAGCTGTCTGGTTACCATAGTACAGGCTCTGTCTAGTTTGGGATCAGACGGCCGTGTGTGAAATGTTATATATTATATTATTCTAATTCGGTTTTTTTTTTCACCAATTCCAGATACAGAATGACAGTACTGAGAAACTTGCCAAACCTGGAGAAATTGGACAATGTAGCTGTACAGCCGGACGAGGTGAGTTTTCAGACGACTCCACCCTTTTTTTTTTTTTTTTTTTTTTTTTTCCGTGCGGAAATCCCCTCGGATACCACCTGTCGGTGGCATGTCGGACTCGAACCGACTAAAACCGCACGCCGTCGCCGGGTACTAATAGCCGGGGAACCAGGTATACCCTAGAAAGGAAGGCCCTGGTGCCCCGACATACCTCGGGTCATCTACAGACGAGTAGACGACCCCCGCCCCGTGTGGGAACCCCATGTTCCCTGTGCTCCCTGGAAGCGAGCGCGCTTCGCAACGCGCTCGCCGCCACCCCGGCCTGCTTCTGCTAGGGTGACAGATGGCCTCACCTGTCCCACCCCCATAGGCCTGCGCTTATGGAGGACGGAGGTCGTTCTGCGACCTCCGGCGCCTGAGTCGCCTGCGCTGCCTGGCCCGTGCCCGGGCCTGGCGGGCCGGGAGAGTTCTAAACCTCTCCCGGTCCCGCTCCGCCGTCTCCTTCGCGAGCATAACTTGCTCGCAGAAGGAGACGGCAGAGTTCCACGCACTCTCGCTCCGCACGATAGCCGCAATCAGGCTATCGAGCGAGAGAACTCCCACTCCGATGGCCGCCACGAGGTCTCGCCTCTGCTCAACCCACGCCGGGCACTCTGCCAGCGTGTGGAGAGCCGTGTCCACGGTCTGGCCATCGCAGTGGTGGAGACGACTCCACCCTGACATTGTTCTAACAACTCAACACAAATAAACTAAACAAAGTGTCTACACTCTGTTTAGTTTATATCTAAATAGCGTTATGTAATATGAGCCACACACAAAGTTTTTCCTATTCTGTTCTACCCACCAATCTAACCGTGTAAAAAAAAGTTATAGTTTAAAAAAGTAAAAAACTCGCTTGCTATAGAAAACCAAACTAAAAAATAGAAAATAAATTTGAAAAAAAGCGTTGGGTGCCTGTTGTCAATAGTTAAAAGTGTTCTTAAGTTTTTTTTTAACTATTTTTTTTTTTATTAGTGTATTGTCATCGGTCCTCGATATATCTACAAAGTTTGAACGAATTCTGACCGTTTAAAGTCAGTCAAAATCACGCCCAAAGGAGTCGGTTACAAAGCGTGTTAAAATTGAATTTCAGCCGTATCGTAGTAGACTTAAAGCCGACCCCAACCTAGTTTGTGAAAAAGGTTGTGTGCTGTGTTAACAAGCTCAGTCCCCAGAAGTTCCTGGTTTGCTCTCATGGTGTTTAATCAACAGTGGTTGTTTGCAGGTGCAAGAAGCTATGCGTCGCGGCGTGCACATACCTGACTCCGATGACGAGGGTTATCCCCAACAGGTTGGTGCTGCACTACTGAAATAAACTTCATTGAGTAGGCCTTGTTACAGTGCATTTTCACGCACACAAAATAATATTTAATAAATAAGTCACTGGAACAGAGATGAGATGACCCTTATAAGAGTCATATAAATACATTGAGGGCCGGATGGCGTAGAGGTTTGTGGTTCGATACCCGGTCAAGTCAAATATTTGTGTGCATGAACGTTTAATATTTGATTTGGTCTGGATGTTTCTTTGTATAATATGTCTGTACCTATTTACAAAAAAAAAGTATCATCAACAGCCTATAACAGTCCACTGCTGGACATAGGCCTCTCCTTAGAAAGGAGGTTTTGGCGTACTATACCACGCTGGCCCAACGGGTTTTTTATAGGGTTTGTTTCAATTTTTCCTTCTCTTTGCAGTGTTGTTGTCCTGCGTAGTTTGCTCCCTTAATCAGCTCTTACGACACCCACGGGATGAATACTGAATGACTTAAAAAAGTAAAAGAAAAAAAAAAGTATATATGTATTTATATCAGTTGTCTAGTACCCGTAGTACAAGCTCTGCTTAGTTTGGGGCTAGATGGCGTTGTGTGAATGTAGTAGAATATTATTATTTTTATATCCCTATTGCAAGGCTAAAAATACACCAGTCTATCTTTAGTTATAAGCTTCTGTGATGACACACCATCCGGTGACCAGCTTCTCGTCACAGGTTCTGCTACTATACAGATATACGTATGTTGTTTCGCAGCAAGAGAGTTACGGCCAGTACCGGCGCCAGCGGTCGTGCGAGTCGAGCCCCGAGCGCGACACGGACTATTACACGCGCCCCCCTCCGTCCACCAGACAGGACCAGGTATGTGGGTCCTGCAGGACATGTCTCTGATTGTCTATGTGTGATAGCCAGTTCATTGTATGAATAATCTCCATAATATTTATGTTATGAATGCGTGTGTTGATATTGTGTGTTTTCTTTTATTTAAAACTGCACTGTAAAGTTTGACTGTGGATTATGGTTGTTGTGTAGTCATTGTGATTATTATGTATTGTAAGTATATATTATTGTCTGTCTTCATTCAAAAAATGAGTTTTTAAATCAACTCAATAAAAAAAATTACATAAATAACTTAAAATTGTTAGGATCTTTTTATAGTTATCTTGAGGCTTTAATATGTTAATCAATATTTGTAAACTGCTACTAAAATGTTGGTATTTATTTAAAATATTTAGATTAGGTATATAATTATTATACAATTAACAATATTTACATTATCTACATACAAGCATTAAAAGCCATAAAAACATCGCCCACTAAAGAAATCTTTAAAATTATTTCAGTTTTTTTATCGCTATTAACATCTAACTCAAATCAATAGTTGCGGTAGCCTAGTGGTTAAGGCATTGGACTTGCGCTCAAAAGGTCGTAAGTTCGAATCCTGACCAGTACACTATCGACGTGAACCCACTCCTAACAAAAGCAATTTAGCTTAGCGGGTGGGGTTACTTTTTAATAATAATAAAAAAAATACCTACATCAAAAATAAATCAACATACGAGTAATCCATAATCGTATCGCGTTAAAGATATTTTTAACTGACCCCTATAAAGGCGGTGGATCGGTTCAATTGTATTGTTTTTGTCTATGTTTGTTATTTCAGAACTCTTGTCATAATGAACCGTCGGGAACAATATTTTTATATTTAACAATAACAAGTAATCATTAAAAAAAATCAATAATATGCATGTAATGCACTAAAAAGACCGAAACATCTCGAAGTTAGACACAAACATGACCTGTTTTTACGCTATCAAAATTTTTAAATCAATTTATTATTCTCTATTAAATTTAAATATAAAACTTATAAATATTTTTGTAATCCTCTTTTAATTTTCTTGATTTTGAAACCATATTTGATAGGTTTGGTTATTTTTTTTCTATTAAACTCCGTTTTTCGGTGGTAAATTAAGGAATGCAGACCGCAGTTTATTAAAATCATCAAAATAAAGATGCGTGTAAGTCGGTGATACTTTAAAAAAAAATGTATCTTTTTTTAGTCGAATGCACCAATTTATCCAAAATGGTCAAAATTAGCCGACTAGTCAAAGTTGGCCACTTGATTCTCGAGCTATCGATGTTAACTAATTTTATCCCATATTTCTTAGTACAAGTTGACCCCCAAACATTTTCTTTTTTGTTATTTTCGTTTTCATTTCATAGGCTAGATTATTTAACTTTTTTAAATATTTCGTTTTCAAACAAAAAACATTTCATTGATTAGTATGTATGTATAGATTTTATTTCTAGCATAATAATCATGTGAATGGATATTTGGATATATATGTGTTTATTGTGTGTATCATATGTATAACTAATCCCTGACGTCACTAACCCCCATGTGACCGCATGCGCGCGCGCAGACAGGCAGCGACAGCTCGGAGGCGGGCGCCGAGGCCCCGGTGGAGTCGGCGCGCTCCGACCAACAGGTGATCTCATATATGTGTTACTGCACATCGCACGCGCCACAGACCGTCCGCGTGTAGCCTGACCACTGCTCATGTCCAGTAGTGATTGGTGGAACTCGGATTTTAGTGACCGTGACGTTTCAAATATATTATATTAGTTATCCCCGTTTTTTAAACATTTTTCATTGATGTTATATAGCCTTCCTCGATAAAAGAGCTATCCAACACTAAAAGAGTTTTTTTAATTCGAACCAGTAGTATCTGAGATTACTCCGAACATACAAACTCAACTTTACCTCTTTATAATATTAGTATAGACTAGCTGGTGCCTGCGGCTTCGGCTGTGTGGAATTTGAAAAGCGCTGCCTTACTGGGTTCGATTCCCAGATCGGGCAAAATTTTATAGGTTTTTTGTGAAAGAAAAAATAGCCTAAGTTACTTCTTATATAGACTACCTAGCAACCTGGTAGTAAAATAATATCAAAATTGGTCGAGCCGTTTCGAAGATTACAAGGAACGAACAGACGGACACAAAACTTTAAACAGCAATGCTATTTTCTAACGAAACAGGCTTGCGTACAGGGCTGGCACAGCGTCGAACTTCAAACTAAGTTCGTTTGATATTCGACGCTGTGACAGCGCTGTAGTGTGGCTGTTTCCTTTTTAGGCGGTTTTTAGGCATAGATATCGTGCAAATAACTGTGTGAGCAAGGAAAATAACTTATTATTTTGACATTAAAAACAGACACTTCAATTTTATTTATTGGTAAAAATTTAGTTTAAAGTAACGAAGGCTTAATATTGGCGAATAAAAAGTATTTAAACTTAACCTGGATGACCGAGCTTTACTCGGAATTTATTTTTATTGCTAAATTTTCTAAAATTTGTTTCGGGAGCGATTAATCGATCTGCTTACTAAATTTCATGAAAATCGTTTTAGCCGTTTCCGAGATTTAGAATATATATACAAGAATTATCCGTATGGTGACGGATTAAGAATACGGCGTGTCACCACCCCTGTTCATCCTGTCCATCCATAACTAAGCAGGACAACTTCAAAGAAAAGGAAATTTGAAACAAGCCCTATCTATACCAACCCGGCTGGCCAGCGTGGTATAGTAGGCCAAAACCTCCTTTCTAAGGAGAGGTCTATGTCCAGCAGTGGACGATACAAGAATTAGGGGAGAGTGGGGTAATTACGAACACTTAAGGGGAAATTGAAATTAAACAAAACCAGATTAAGTTACGAATGTCATTTATTACTTAACATTTACTTTAACTAATGAACCTTAAGTTCTGATGAGCAACATAGATAAACTTTCAATACAGAAACGAATATTAATAAGAAAACAAAACTATGGGGTTCGGGATTACCCCACAACACGTGGGGTAATTACGAATGGTGTGTGGGGTAATCACGGACATAATCTAATCATCACACAAATCACATATAAATCCTTTTGATGTACTTTCACCACTCGTACACTTTTCATGGGCCCATAAATTACATTTGTAGCATTTTATCCAATCTTCATGTGGAGGATCTTCATATTTTTCATCACAAACTAAGCAAAAATACTCATTTTCTTTCGCATCTCTTTCTTTGGTTTTCTTTTTCTTACGCGGTACGTCCTTTTCTTGAACCTTTATCTTAATATCAGTGTCTGCAAATGCTTGACGATTCTTCACACCTTTCTTGGAACCTTTAGTGGAACTAGCAGCCTTTTCCCTTCCTTTCATGTACTCCTTATTTTTGCTTGCAAAGCTTCCAAATTGTCGAAGAACATTTTCAGTTCTGTTTCATTAAAAACTGTAATTCTATTGATAGACGTGGACTCAGGATTACTTAGCGAAATATTAGGATGTCTTTTCTTAAACCCGTAGAACCAATACTTTTTAATTGTGCTTTAAGTGATTTACTTCGGCAAATTTAAAAGCTATTTTCCGGACCATTTCTATGGTCAAACCATGAAATAGCTTACTGCATTTTATGATATGTTCTTCTAATTCTTTTTCCTGTTCTTCAGAAAATACAGCCTTCCTTCCAGTTTTTGGTTCTTTTATAACTTCCTTTTTGAGATGGTCGTATATAGTACTTTTTGGAATAGAATAAGGAGCAGCTGCTTTTCCTAGTGAAAGTTTTTTGTTCTTAACACCCCGAATGGCTCTTTCTAAGTCTTCTAATTTGTATTTGGTCTCCGTCTTTCTTTGGTAATTTCGTGGCATCTGAAACATATTTAAGTAGGTATAAATAAGCTCGTGGAGGTACAGTGCTGAAAGCAGAGAAACATAAAAGCAAACTTCCTCAAATGTATTTCATCAAAATTCATCATTATTATCATCAACGCAATGCCGACTGCATTGCGTTGATGATAATAATGATGAATTTTACTGCTGGACATAAATTATAAAATAAAAAACAATAATTTAATTGTTCAGGGGTAATTACGGACGGTCGGGGTTACCCCACTGAAATCGTCCGTAATTACCCAACTGACACGTTATCACAAAACTATTTTTTTTTTTTTAGGTTAGAATCGCGTGATACACGCGGCAAGTCCTTAGAAACATTCTTGAATTAGGACGTTAATTCATAAAAAAAATACCGAATTTCTATGTTACACCTAAAATATTATATATCTATTCAATTTTACTCGAAAATTATATGAAATTGTTGAAAAAACAAAAAGTTAACATACCTTTTACACCGAGTGCGTTGTTGCTTCACAACTCTTTGTTCGGCACTAGGTTCGGGATCGACTCACGATTGCATTACTCGGAATATCTTCAATCCTTTTCTAACATAGCCAAACGAACGTATCCGCGATTACCCCGCGTCCGTGATTCCCCCACTCTCCCCTACTTGTTTAATGGTATTAGACTATTGTTTAAAATTAATAAATTTGTTTTGTCTACGAAGCATCGATTGTTATACAAATAGATATCGCTTTATTATTTAAATACTCAATAAAGTTATTAATATCGATTTTTGATTCACACAAAGTCAGTCAGTGCGTGCTATATGATAGAGCATACCACCAGGACATTATTTATAATACAACCATTCGGCGACATATTACAGAAGGCAAACGTAATACCTGCTCGGGTTTACATTATGTTCCGGTAAGTAAATTATTATAGATTTACATGTGTCTGTGAATTGTAAATAACTCGTTTCTTCAGTCATATATTTTAAAATTATTATTGTTTCAAAACGTTCAATTTCTATAGTAAAAGTTCATTAAAATAACAGGTACTTTATTTATTAGTGTATTGGGTCAACAACTGTTAGTTAAACTTTTACAACTAACACCATTTGTTGACATTTTGTATAAGTGTACAATATCAAGCGGAAAACAACTTTCTCAGATGATATGATACGGATATGTGGACAATTTAAAATTAATCTACTCAAGACAAAATTTAAAAAAGAAAAATAAAGTAAATATTACGTATTACTGACCAGTTATTTCTTTTGCCTTGTGTACGTATCGCGTTGATTACGTAGAACGAATACAAACAGCTGAATAGGTTTTTTTAAATACGTAAGTTTTATACTGTTTCGATTTGCGCATACAGCAAAACACACTTCAACGTCATCTAGCGGAGACAAGATGAACTACATAGTAACTACTGATCCTGTATCTCGCAATAACAATTCTCGCGTCTGTAAATGTACACAACTTTCCAAATTCAACCATTAAGCTTGGGCTGCCGGGCAAGATCACTTATCCTGGTAATAGGATCCTCCCCATGCGTCAGAGGGACATGACGATCCCTCCTCCTCGATCTTAAGCTTATAATGGTACGTTTACACGCATGGCAAGTCTCGACAAGTGTCCACAAACAAGCGTGTAAACGGGGTGTTTGGCTCGGCTCGTGTGAGCTTGCCGCCGATCCGAGCTAGTGTCGGTTTATAAACACAGATCAAAGGAAAATTGGGGCAAGCGTTTGCGACGTATTTACATGTTGACGTGTGTTTAGGGTCTCTGTTTATATTTTGAATATATATATGTCAAGCCAGTAGCCGTTGCCTATCCGGAACACACTAACACTCTCACAAGCGTGTAAATGGCATCCTATTTGTAAAGGCTTGGAGCTTGTGGTTGTTTGCCAAGCCTCGGCAAGCGTGTAACCTACGCATTATGTTCGTCACGGTTGCTAAGATTCGAGTTCTTCAAATTCTAATCCATGTAGATATTATATGTTTGGTTGTGATATATATTGATGTATTTTTTTTTTTAATTTGTGTCGTTCAAAAATCGAACAGACCACTAAGTGCGGTAAATAGGGGTAATAAAAAAACACTAGACATAATTTATGCTGTTTTATTCTCGTCATAGAGTATCAAATACTAATAATTAACAAGTGTGAACCTTAAGCAGATAATTTCTGTTCGTACTGTAATATTTCAAACATAGTTTATGTATATTTTTGACTTGATTGTTTGTATGTCCTTAGATATACCTATCCGTATATCTACTGCAGTGAAATATAAATAACACAAAAACTAACAATGTTTAGCTACATTTTTCGTTGTACGAATTGAGCTAGGTAAATGTCGAACTTTTGCTGGCCCTGCTCCGCTCTAAAGGGCCATAGCTTGATGTTAAATCATCTATAGCCTTTCTCAAGGATTCAGCTTAAAAATTACGTAATAATAAAATAAAATAATAAAAAATATTTTTTAATAAAAAGACAAAAGTCTTGTGTAAATGCAAGGCGGCGACAGGAGGGGCGCTTTTATGGACTTGTAATATATAAAAGATCCTTTGATATTTATCAGTTTTTGTGTTAAAACTTTAAAATAGTCAAACACAAAACGTATAAGAAGTAGAAAGACTAAATTTTAGTAGTTATTGCCGAGCTTTGTTTTAAATGACACAAATATTTCTATAATATTGTACTCATAGTCATGTTTCTCAAGTATAATAATACTACTAGCTAATGTACTAGCTACGCCTAATCTCTTCGACGTTCCAGTGCCTGCTGTCGCCGACGCGTCGCGCTCCGCCCGCGGCCGCCTCGCCCGACTCGGACGAGAGATACGACCACCCCGCCATGACCAGGTCACAATATGACGTGAGTACCGATGATCGACTGTATACTCCGGCGACGTGATAGCCTGTATACCAGTGATGCTTTGTATACTTTGGTGCAGCGATATAGATATAGCCGTGGTATAGTACAATTCAAATTGATAAAACTATACACCATAAAATATCTGCCAATAAACTTATAAAAATATTTTTTTTTTAATGTATATTTTAAATATGATAAGGAATATTTGTACTTTTTGTCAAGTGTTTTAGTTTTAGTAAGACAGTCATGAGAGCCGTTACATTTCATATAAATATCTTACGATATGTAACTGTGTACCTAAGGATGTAATTGTCACGGTTATAACTATTTTACTGCGATTTTTATATTTGTTTAACTGTACCGAAATAGACACAATGATACATATACATTTGAGTATACATGTGACAGGTTGTATATTAGTTATAGTATACAAGATTGTATTGACATGAAACTGCGTATATAGATAAAACAATATAGGTTATTATTAACGCCCAACTGAACCACTTATATGTGTTCAGATATACATATATATTTTCATTGTATACACATGCTCACCGTCGACAGTCGGTCGATCACCTAGTGTTGCGACACTAGTGTTGTAGTTTGAATCATCGACATTTTCATGCTTTTGCTATTGACATATATCCGCCGTAATAATTTTAATCTAACAATATTAACTACATTTAATTCGCCGTTACACCTTTGTATTCTTGGTAATTTGTTGCTAGATGTGTGCCAAGGACAACCAAACTGGGTAACTTACAATATCCATTACTAACGAGAAAGAAACAAAACAATCTAAGGTACCTTATAGGGTAGACATAGTCAGATACATTATTTGGACCTACATATTCGACATAGAACACCGAGACTAATGCAATGGATATTCATATACACAAATATTTGGGCACGGCCTCGCCACATATGTAACGGCTGTTCTGACAGTTTGTTGTTATAAAGGGTACTTGGAAACCATATTTTCCAACAACAAGTGGACAACGTGTATATAAATTACAAATATTCATGTTGAGTAGTTAAAGCGTAAAAAAACTCCAATACTCATTTATAACATCAATAAGGTTGTACAAATGTATTATATAGGCAGTTTAGTTGTGTACTTGGTACACATCTGGCGCTGGTTCCGGCGCACTAGGGGGTAGTTAGTGCGTGTTGACGTAGTTTGTGTTGCGTGTGGTGTTGCAGCCCGCCAGCGCCGCGCGCTCGCCCGACGCGCCCGCGCTGCGCCACTCGCTCTCCGCGCACAGCGTCAAGGTACACACCGACACTCACACACATACATACACCTTACAGATATATGATGATATTGTGATGTAGGATCATGAGTTAAAACACGTATGTAATCACAGTATGGCTTGCGGTACACTCACTCATGTATGTTAGCATGCGCACATGTTGATGTTCAAATGTAAACCAAATATTAGCCGAAAAATTGAAATTTATATTCAATAAGAAATTTCTGAAATGTTAAAACATGTCAGTAATTAATTTTAGCAGAATTTATTTTAGATTTGAAATGAATCTTTTCCATATCACTAAACAAAGCTTGTAATAACAACAGAGACTTGGTCGGTGATATTTATAATTACCTCTGAACCGCGACAGCCTGACTCCGAGAAGGCATCGCAGATTAATTGTTGTCATGTTTTCATTTTTTCTTTGTTGAATAAGCTAAAAATTTAAACGTCAGCATGTTCCTATTGTCCATCAACAATGATTTCATGACGTACTCCATACCGAGGTGATTTATTTGTAACAGCTATTGTTGCCCATTTGAATTAAAATACATAAAAGGACGTAAAAACCCTTTCTTTATTGGTTTATCCGATTGTTAATTATAAAATACACGTTTTATTTAATTAAATTAGTAACAAACGATTCTTATTCTTCTTATTAATACAATTAATATCAATAACAAACGTAACTAAATGTTCTTCACGAATATTGTTCTCATTAATTTTAATGTTTATTCACGACTTATTATACTGCAGTGATAGCGTGTATACTATGTGTGATGACATGTATACCAGTGATGGCGTGTATACTATGTGTGATGAAATGTATACTTGGTTGTACCCACAGGAGTACTCGTACAGTTCGAACGGCGATTGTCGGTTCGGGTCCGGGGGACGTGTTTCGTCACCGCCGCAGTACAACGAAAGTTACTACGAGAGACACGACAGGTTTGTTTAATATTATAAATATTATTTAATAGAAATTATGGACTTTATTTGAGAGTACCCATTCTTAAAATGGTCTACCCGCAAAAAGCCACAAAATCCAATTAAAGTTAATTATCAGCAGCTAAACATGATGAATCTAATGAAACTAAGAAAGACCGTAAATATTGACCTTCTGACCAAGTTGCACTGGCCGTGGTCACAGCCTGACTGAGACTTAAAAAGCCTGTGACCACACCCAGCTGAGGACAATAAGCCCCCGCCCCCCTCTCCCCCTCCTGTTGCCTAATTAGAACTATCGAATCTATATACCCTTTCGTTGATAAGCACATGTCGTATGTATGTAAAAAGAGAACATTTAAAAAAAATATATACGTGTGTGTCTGTGTGTTACCAGGGCGGAGTCATACGGGCAGATGTCGACGCGCTGCAGCGGCGAGGCGTGGGAGGAGCGCGGCGGGGGGAGCGTGGGGGGAGGCGGCGCGGGGGCGGCGGGCGCGGGCGGGGGCAGCCGCGAGCGCGTCGCCGCCTTCGAGAGAGCGAGCGCGCTGCACGAGCGCGAGCGGGACAGGGAGTACCCCTCCGCCGTCATGGCCGAACACAGGGGCTTCACCAGGAGGCCTGTTACCAGAGTTAGTATTTATTCTCCATCTTCGCATTGCATCTGTATTTTCACTATAACATGGAACTATGATTTACTTTCCGGCAAGTGCACCTCTTTGCACACGGCGCCTATAAACTAGTGATATAAAGCGTGAGTTATGCATTCAAATTGATGAATTAAGGTCGGGACAGACAGCGGGCGAGGCGGGCTGGGATGTGCCCTGAACGGTTGAAATGTATTGGTGCACGTCAGGACACCCCCGGCCATGCCTTTCTTTTGCCTTGACCTTTACCTGGCGCCAGAGTTGAGCATACAACGTAACATTTCGCAGTCATGTGTTCGATTCCCGCGCAGTGCAAAAATTTATATGCATGAATATACCTATTTAAATTGGGCGATGCACCTATATATTAACAAAAAATGTGTACATTCGTTCTTTTTTTTTAATGGCTGAGACCGTTAACCCCTCCAGCTAAGCTAAATTGTTTGTGTTAGGAGTGGGTTCACGTCGTGGTGTACTGGTCAGGATTCGAACCCACGACCCCAATGCCTCAACCACTAGGCTACCGCCGCTTCATTATTTTCACCTTTAAGACCTGAATAAAGAACCTACTGGCGCACACATCAAAACAATATTGTTATATATTTGTTGATGAGACGGTATCTAGCTGTACCTAATTAAAAAAGAGTGGCCATGAGTTTGTTTGCCCTTTTTTCTCATAAGGCTCAACCCCTTTGAAACGGACGGTCGTAGATCGGCACAGGCATTCGGATTGACTTCATTAGCTAAATATTTAACAAAACAGATCATTTCTATTGTGTGTTTCATTTCATCTGTAACGATATTAATTATTTTTTTAAAGACATTATGAAATAGAGAAATTTTAAGTTTGAGAGAGAGACGTCTATATCGTTGCAGAACTCGAACCTGCTGTCGGCGCTGCTGTGCCTCGTCAAGGAGCTGGACTACCCGAGCCTCGAGGTCGCCGAGATGGCCGTCAGGTGAGGTCCTTTACTCTCTTAGAAACGATAGCGAAAAAGTGTGTAAGCATTTGTGTGGTGAAGTTGATAAAGCCGAGATAGTGCCATGATTTAAAGTTGATGATTCACCAACACTAAGTAACTAATTGAAAAGCAAGAGACCTTTGTGGTGGTTACGGAATATATTATTTCTTGATTTTTAAATATGGTTTTTGAGCCAAATTTAGAACAAAAAAATGTCTAGAAGTAAAATATTTAATGAAAAGAAATACTTCCTCTATAACACTCTCCGCTCGTCCGCAGATGTCGCATGGACGAGCTGGCGAACAGCCAGTGACGTCACGCCGCGGCGCCCGAGCCCCCCGCGCCGCCGCACTGACGTCACGCCCGCCGCTGACGTCACACCCGCGCTGACGTCACGGCACGCACGTCACGGGAGCTCCTCTAGTCAGTCGCGCGCGACTACGTCGGCAACGACCCCCAGACATGTACATAAGCACCCCCTACTAAAGCACCCCGCTTCTATGGCCAGTAGTCTATCGGTTCGGTACGGGTTTGAGTCCCGGACAGTACATTTAACACTAGTAATGTTCGAACGTTACTAGCGGTTTAAAAAAACACGCTTCCTCTCATACTCAGACTTCCGTGCGTTGAGCTCACTTCGTGCACTCGTGGAAACGAACTTCGACTTAACGACTTTAGTGATAAGGTTTAGAATCACACAACAACATCACTCTACCTATGTGTCATACGTATGCTTTACAAGCCAACAGTGTACGTTGAACCTAATGTTACCTAATACTACTCCGTGGCCCAATTCATTTTAAAATTGTATTCATTCGCATACATTACACACTAATACTACTTACCTCAAGACATTGTACGCCAGCTTGTTGGCGAGCTTGCGCCACAACTTGTTGGATAGTTTATGGTATTCCTCTTATTATCAACTTATAAGTTGACACTAATGACAGCTGTGTGGGCCCCAAATACTAAAGATGTTAGACGATTAATTGATGATAAGTTTAGCCCTATCTGTTGCCGGCGAGAGTCTCGCGCGTGGAGCGTGGTCTGTGGACAGTGTGTCAGACGCGTGCGTGTTTGTTTATACACAAGTGTTTATACATAAGTATGTGTAATGTATCCAACGATACTCGCCTCTATCACTCATCGGTTACAGTCCGTTGGCTTTATTTCGCGGAGGCCTATTGTGAAAGTAATACTACAAAAATCTGGGTTAAATGCAATTTGTTAAGTTTTAATTGCCATTAAATCAATCGACCATCGCAAGATTTAATAATATGAATAGAACTTCGTCTCTTCAGATATCCTCAACCTTTTTGGTGTGTGGCCTCCTTCTGATTACGCCATTGAAAATGGTCTTGAACTACTTCCAGCAGACCTCCTTTCCTGCTTTGCCCCCACCAGCTATAATTACGGTCTATGTGTCGTCTTACTGATTCTAACTGCTATTTCAGACTTGCTTCATAGAACTACGAAAAAATTAGAAGTGTCATTCGTAAATATATATACCTACATAGCAGTTAGCGTATGTTTTAAATGATTTAACACTCCTCAAGAAATCGTGTGGTATTTAAGACATGCATGAATTTATTATTTTAAGTGAATAACTTACGATATTAAAGTATAAAAGTCATATCACATCAACAGCCTTTAATAGCCCACTGCTGGACATAGGCCTCTCCTTAGAAAGGAGGTTTTGGCCTACTACTTTTGAAGTCATATGATTGTTCCAAACGTTTAACTTTAAAAAAAGAGTTTCTCTTTTTTTAAAGTTAAGTTAAGTTGAGTTAAATTTTTTTTAAGTTAGCTCACTTCTTCTTGTGCTCGCTACACCATAAAAAACTAAATCAACAGTCAGCTCGTGGTCAACAAATGCGTCCCTTAATTAAGGTTAAGCTGTCAGTGAGCAAATTTCTAGCGTTTGATAGAGTCAAGACCCTTTTTTTTTTCCGTGCGGAAATCCCCTCGGATACCACCTGGTGTCATGTCGGACTCGAACCGACTAAAACCGCACGCCGTCTCGGGTACTAATAGCCGGAGAACCAGGTGTACCCTAGAAAGGAAGTCCCTGGTGCCCCGACATACCTCGAGCCATCTACAGACGAGTAGATGACCCCCCCCCCCGTGTGGTAACCCCATGTTCCCTCTGCTCCCTGGAAGCGAGCGCGCTTCGCAACGCGCTCGCCGCCACCAGGGCCTGCTTTCTGCTAGGGTGACAGATGGCCTCACCTGTCACCCCCAGGCCTGGGAGTCAAGGACCCTAGAAGTCACTCTCATCGACAGTCTTTAATAGTCCACTGCTGGACTAGGCCTCTCCTTAGAAAGGAGGTCCTTATCAATGGAATATAATCGTTTTATTTACATTATTTGAACCTTGCGACGGTAGAATTTTGCGTTAATATCTATATAAAGTCAGGTACCTGCTATTTCCTGAAAAAGACGCCTCTGAATATTAACTAAATGTTATATTATTGAATGTTTTTGTTACAAATTAGCTGGATAGTAATAAATTATCGTTTTGTACAAGGTACTTGTTATATATGTTGCAAATACAGTATGAAGTTCTGTTTGTTAGGTTATTTCTACAATTTATTGTAGGTGTGTTGACGGCGAACATGTTGGAGGACTTGCTCGCCATCATGCGCGGATACCGCTGCTATCAATTAATTAAATAAATAATGTAACTTACTCATTAATAATAATTAATTGTAATTAAATTAACTTGCCGTAACTGTGTTGTGTTTTATTTGTTGAGTTTGGAATTATGAACAATATACAACTATATATCTAAGTTGACGGCCGTATTGGTCTTGTGGTGAGTGACCCTAACTGCTAAGCCATGTAGTGGGTTCGATTTCCACCCAGCACAAACATTTTATGATGAGCACGATCATTTGTTGTCTGGGTGTAATTTATCTATTTTATATAATATTTTCGGACATCTAACACACAACGCCATTTAGTTTCAAACTAAGCAGAGCTTGTACTATGAAAGCTAGATTGACTGATACTGGTAGAATACTTATATACTTTTTTTGTAAATGCATACATATTATACTTACATAGAAAACACCCAAACTCCGAAACAAATATTTGCAGATCATACAAACATTTGGTCCGTCCCGGGAATCGAACCCGAGACCTCAGCACAGCAGTCGCATACACTACCATTGCACCACGAGACAGTCAAAATAATACTTTTTGTATGTATTTAGAAATATAGAGGAATTTTATTCAGCAGTCTGGTGACCACAGCACAGGCTCTGTCTGGTTTGGGATCAGACGGCCGGAAAGACAAAGATGTACACAAGATATACACTTTGGTACGAAGACAGATCGACATTTTACTGGACTCCCTATAGTTTCATGTAGCCCTTTTCTGATTGGCTTGCCTGTTGGTCTAGAGGTTAGTGACCCTGACTGCTGAGCCAGAGGTCGTGGGTTCGATTCCCATCCAGGACAAAAAACGGTGTGATAAGCATGGTAATTTTTTCTGTGTCTGGGTGTAATTTGTCTATAATATGTATGTATTTAGAAATATATAAGAATGTTTATCAGCAGTCTGGTTACCATAGCACAGGCTTTGCCTAGTTTGGGATCAGAAGGTTCTCAACAGGGGCGTGCGCTCCTTGTAGGCAGAAATGCAGTGCTTTACTTGCTATTCACAGACATTTTAATAAACGTTGGTACGTTTTAGATGACTTTAATTAATAGTAAATAAATGAAAAAACAAAATATAATAACTTAAAAACGCGTACTATTTACAAATAGCATAGCACCACACAAACATTGTTTGCCAGGTGTTTACCGAAAAGCAAGCGCAAAGCAACTCATGCCGTCGCCTCGCGCAGGACATTTGTTCGCATGTGTGTAGTAATTTTGGTGTCCGTGCACAGTTCGCATACGCACACACCCGTTTATTTTATATGCCCGACTACAGCCGCAGGATACTGCAGTTGGCCTTCGGCTCCCGCGCTAATCGTTGTCGTCAGTTTTCGGGTATAATCGGCAGTGTTTGTTGCCTATAAATCCACCCAATTACAATAGTCAGAAATATAATTAATCATGTATGCGGATTTTGAATTTTGAATATGGTAAGGCTTTATTTGTTTAATTAGCAGATATGTTTCTTGTTCGCGGGGGCCATATTGATTTTTTCATGTGATAAGCATTGTTTACTATTTTCTTTCCGCCAGTATAATTATAGTTTTATTTGAAAGTGTGTACATTTAACAGTTTATTACTGAGTTCCGTTGATTTTTTAAAAATGTTAATTGATTGTGAGGTATGTGTGGAAAATTTGTGTATAATTTAAATTAAAAATAACAAGTTCTCACAATTGTCATTCAGTGAAAAGATTACAATTGTGTCTAAAGGTCTGTAACTATCACTCACTTGGAAAAGATATTTGAGGTGGCCGAAATCTTGCGTTTATTTACATTGGGATAGAGTAATCTCAAGTAACCTTAACCTTGAATATGTGAATATCAGAAAATTGAAGATGACCAGGTGAGTAGTTATAATATTTTAGCTTATTATTTTACTTATTAGAATTTCCTCCGACGCGATCTATCGTCGATCTATCGCAGTTTTGTCAGTGTTCCCGTTGAAGATGTACATGAATAGTAGTACATCTAAGACTTGTTCTGTTTGCATGGTTTCCGACTTAGAAATCCATCGCGTGGCTGTGGCTAAGCTAAAAATCTATAAAAGAAAAAGTTTTTGTGACCGACTACTCTGCCGCATACCTAGTGTCATAATCCTGTGCACGCCGCTGATTCTCAAAGTTAATCAAAGTGTTAGCTTTGTGCACTTCTACACATAAACAATAAGTATTCCAAATAATCTTTTTAAAATAATAAAATAAATGATATGTTTTCGTGCCCAAATTTGTTTAAAAAAAGAAATTGAGCTGTCGCGGAATGTGCGACAGATGTGAAACATCGAAATATTTATGTAGAAATAGTGAATACAAAAGGACAGGAAGCTTATAGTACTTTCACATAGCGTGGTATGCTAGCATGGCGTGGCGACGCGTCGCCACACTAATAACCGGTCTGATATGTAAAACATCTACACGTATTAATATATAGATTAATGAGACTCATATTACAGTGAATTAACTCAGACAATTCATATTATATTCGATGTTAAATACAATAATTATAACAAATTGCACGTTGTCAGTAGTTGTCACTGGGGTAGCAAAATATCTGCGTCGAGATATACCTGCGGATAGGACATATAAACATATGTTAGTATACAGAATACATTACGAAAGCCTTAACGGGGATGTCATTAAAGGCTAAGAATTAACTCTTGAAGGTTTTGTGAAAAAAATTAAATTGAAAAGACAAATTAAAAAATTATAATGTTATGCTAAAACACTCGCATGTTACACAGGAGTTTTATTACGTCACAAACTGAGATAGGTACTGGCAGAGTTCAATAAAGAAGAGGCAAAAAATAGAGTATAAATAAGGAAGCTGTCGACTTGATTATCGGTTGACGAAGTAATGGTTGGTTGGGTTTGAGAGATAGATAACTTAAATTGATTGGAATATTTTTAGTAAATAAATATCTTGTAAAATAGTTTGTAATTGGTACCACCTACATACACACCGTTTTATGCACCAGGCAACACTCATAGTGGGATGGCAGCTCTACTATCCACTTCAAATGACATTTCGACGATCCAAAAAACATACAGGCGCTAACTAACATCACAACTTATATCTTGTACTCTAATTATGGTGTACGACATCCAAGGTCACAATTAACCAAAGAATATTAAAATGTTTGATAAATTTACGAAACTAGCGAGATACAGACGGTAGCCAATCAAAATAAAGTACGCAACGTACAACGCAAGACACGCAATTAAAGTCAAAATATCTTTACTTAAGAAAAAATTAAATTACGCCGAGAGGCGTCTATGGACCCCCGCTCAGACGATGTTCCTTTCGCTTTTAGGTGGACGTTTGCTATGTATATGAATCTAGCTGACCCGCGCAACTTCGTCTGCGTCTCTCAATAGTAATAAATTTTCTCCGTTTTTGAAACATTCTTCATTGGTGCTCCGCTCCTATTGCTCTTAGCGTGATGATATATAGCCTATAGCCTTCCTCGATAAATGGGCTATCTAACACTGAAAGGATTTTTCAAATCGGGCAGTAGTTCCTGAGATTAGCGCGTTCAAACAAACAAACTCTTCAGCTTTATAATATTAGTATAGATATGAAAAAGATGTGAGCGTCGACGCGCCAACTGAAGTGTCGGAAAAAGTCTTGTTACACATGTTTTGGTCTCGCTCCCACCCGCTCAGAGCGTGTGTAGCGCGATAAGGAACATCGTTTCTATTACTTGAAATAGTCTCTTACGTAGACTTTAAGATCCACACACATAACGGCAACAATCTGTTTTGTCAAATATTTACCAAAAAAATATCTCGCTATAAGACACATCTTTCATTTATTATTCTTTGGTCATTTGTGATACTTACGGTGTTCACCAAAATGATTAAATAAGTACTAACTTTCGGAAGGTTCGCCAGTACCCCCTACACAGCGCGCAGAGCGTGGTGTCGCGCGGCTCGCAGCGCCCGGCGCGCGCGGCGATGTGTGCGCCGAACCGCTCCGAGAAGCGCTGCTCTAGCGCCGGCTCCACGCTCCGCGCTCGTCGTTTCAGCACCGGTAACGCTTGTAGCCTTTTAGCTTGAGAATATAACTGGTGAAATAAATGGAGTTATCTACAAATCTGGTGATCGCTGCAGTTATGACTATCTTTAAATAAGCCTAAAAAAATGCATCCCCTAAGGCGTGGTGTCTCTGACATATTAGGCAACCACATAATGGCATCTACAATGTCACACTCACGTAATGCGATGCTAACCTGCTGGTGATGGTAATAAAGCCTGTGCACCGGGCGCTTTTGGTATTAAAGATGGGAAAATTGTATGTAGAAGGCGAGAGGCAGGTTAGAATGTAAGGCAATGAAGGGAAAGAGATAGGTATTGCTCATACTCATGGATTGGAGACGATAAACATAATTATTTTGCTTTACTTTGTTGACAAATATAGGCATTACTTTCCATTTACATCCTTAAAACTTACAAACATGTCTGTCACACAACGTCATCTAGTTTCAAACTAAGTAGAGCTTGTGCTATGAAAGCTAGATTAGCTTATTGAATACTTATTTACTTTTTTTGTAAATACATACATATTATACATGGAAAACGCCCAAACCCTGAAACAAATATTTGCAGATCATACAAACATTTGGTCCGTTCCGGGAATCGAACCCGAGACCTCAGCACAGCAGTCGCAAACGCTACCACTACACCACTGAGAGAGGCAGTCAAAATAATTTTACAATTAAAAATAATCAATTTAACTCTATATTTGCTGCTGATACGTAGCTACATATACTATTATAAAACGTTCGTTTTTAGTTTAAAACCTTCAAATTGGAAAGAAATTTTATTGCAACACCTTGGCCCCGACATCTAAATTGTAACTTAAAAATTGAACAATGCATACTGTTGATATTCCTTAAAATAAATAAATAAGTGAGCGGGGCTCACGTGTATAGGGTCCTCTAGGTCGAACCCGCACCTCGCATCGCACCCGCTCCCGAACGTGGCAGCACTGTCGCCCACCACCACCCTGCAACACACAATACTGCACACACCACTACGCTACTCACGAACTCACACCTGTCTCACTCGCTCTCGTCTCTCGGCTGTAAGTAACGCTGTCATTTCACTCATTTGATTGCCAGATATTTCCTACCATTTTATTACTAAGATTTTAACCTGCGATAATTTATGTGAAATACTAATAAAATGCAGTAGAACTTGGAGTCTCCTCCTTCTTTAACTGACTTCGATTGTTTTTTATGTTTGTTTACTCGGAACTCTGACATTTATGAACCGAATTGAACAAATTATTGTTTTATTTGACATATACCTCCCGGGTATACCTACTTCCCGTTCATTTCCACTCCTTGAACCTCTAAGGATGAAAATTAAGAAAAAAACAATTCAATTCAATGATGTAGGCGTATTGAAGTCGCTATGCCGGTTATTTTTTTTATGTTTCGTGAGTTATTACAACAACAATAAAACGGTGTGCCACCTCTCAGTCCTTAGCGGCGCGCGCGCGTTGGTCAGCATGCGCGGGTTGCGCGGCACCTGCGCCATGGACGACACTGTTACTTCATATTGCGACCTGATGGGAAGCGGTAACCGTCGCTTATGGATTACAACCAATAACAGGAGTATGGCTAAGTGGTGTCTCCTACAAAGACTAGTGTTAGACGTAACTGATTACAGAGAAGCTAGCAGTACTCGCCACACTGTTACATCAATTATGATAATATTGATGATTACGGTTTGCCCGTCGAATAGACGAATCTTTAGTGAACATGACATTGATATTCTGGACCCTACACATTATATAAGTGTCGGGTGACGTCGCGTTGAAAAGTGTTGACGCGTTTTACTAATGTTCCGCAAAACAAAACACTTATTTCTCTAGTAATATCTTATTGAAAAGACCTAGATGTGAATTTGGCAATTGTCTAACTATGGAGTGTAAAGGTATGGAGCACTACCTTGGACGGCAAACTGAAAAAACCGGCCAAGTGAGAGTCGGACTCGCGCACGAAGGATTCCATACCATTACCGTGTTTTTAATATTTGTTGTTATGGCGGCAATAGAAATACATCATCTGTAAAAATTTCAACTGTCTAACTATCGCGGTTTATGAAATACAGCCTGGTGACAGACGGACAGACAGACAGACGGACGGACGGACAGCGGAGTCTTAGTACTAGGGTCCCGTTTTACCCCTTTGGTACGGAACCCTAAAAGGTGTCCTTCAGAAAGCAGCAAATAGTTCTTAAACCGACCAGAACGGCGCTAGTGTAGCCACATGACATAAACATAGCAATTATAGTCGGAGTGAAATTTGCTGATTTAAAGTAGGTATTTTTAATATATTACCGGCAATTTGTCAGTGTTTAACCATTACTGTTAGTAAAACTATTGGTTTTTAAATGTTGACTGAGATTGAACCTTATAACGGGTGTGTTGAAGTCACTATTAATCTAACTTTAATTGACAAGTGTGACTTCTGTACGCAATCAGTGACATATTTTGAATATTTTCTTTGATGTGTTCCTTATTCATATTTATAGCATAAATATAGCTATACAACCTATTACACATATTCTAAGGGGGCGGACTTGAAGCGTGGGTGTGTAGAAGATAGTAGGTGATTCACTTGCAGGAGTGTGGGCTCTGTGCTGACGAGCTTGTCGCTGACGGACACGGAGCCAGAGGAGGGGGGCAGGACGCGCGGTGCGGGAGGCGCGCGCAAGTGAGGGGACGCGGCGCGCGACGCGAACAGCCGGTTCAGCTCGTCCAGCTTGTTCATTATTATCTTGTATGTCTTGCACTCCTCGTTCTGTAACGTGACAGTAAATAATTTTGAAAGCTTTATACATTTAAATTCGCCGTAATATGAGACTAAATGCAAATAAAAATTAAAAAAAAACAAATCGCACGCTTATAAATTTTGTTTACATTTTCACCAAGTTGGGTTTTTTGTTTTACTTATTTGATACGAGGCGTGGCGACACGTCTTATGCGCATACACAGTTTCCGTCCATAACGCAACGTGCCAACGACTGTGCACATACACACCAGGTACACGTAGAGTCCTAAACTTATAAGTAACTGGGCGGTTAGCGATACCCGATGTTTTTCCTTCCTCCGCAGGTCCCTGGACCTGGACGACTGCGTGCTGGAGGTCTCGTCCGTTGTGCGCTGCGAGGACTCGGACTTGTGCGGGGCTGGGGGCGGCGGCGCGGGGGCGGGCGCGGGGGGCGGCTTCTGGCGCTCCGACAGGCGCTCGCACAACTCGGCCACGCGCGCGATTTGCACCTGCCCAGGGAACCACAACATCTCGAGATGAACCTGCCATTGTGGCAGATATGGAAAACACCACTATTTAAATTTCCTGTTTGCCATAAGAGGTAGTAAAAGGCGAAAGATTTAGAAGTGGGAGGAGTGACATGTTCTTAGAATACATTAATATTTATTTGCCCCGTCGACTGTACATAGATATACTATAAAATAAAGTTGTTGTAGTTTTTTTTTGCATTTTTCATAGATTATTAAGAGATATGGTCCGTGTGGTGACGGATTAAGAATACAGAGTGTCACCACCCCTATTCATCCCGTGGGTGTCGTAAGAGGCGACTAAGGGAGCAAACCACGCAGGACAATAGCACTGCAGGGAGAAGGAAAATTTGACACAAACCCTATACCAACCCGACTGGCCAGCGTGGTATAGTAGGCCTAAACCTCCTTTCTAAGGAGAGGCCTATGTTCAGCAGTGGACTATTAAAGGCTGTTGATGTGTGATGATGTGATTAAGAGATAAAGAGAATTCTTTAGGATAGGTAGTAGATCTCTCTAGTCTCAAATACAGTTAGTCCTGTGTCGACTAGCTACTAAGCTAGTACTAACTAGCTTTTACCCGAGGCTTTGTCTGTTTTATTACATAGGAGGCACTCCCTAAGATACAACACCAAAACAAACGTGGTCTATTCTGTACCACCTTGGACGTGATATCTCGAGTGCTTCAACTGACAAAGCTCAAGCATGCTCAAGTATTCCTCTGCTAAATCGGACTTGACGTTGAAATAATGTCGGATAGATCAGACGTGCTACTTCACGGAGATCGGCTCGGGAAGCCATTACATTGTACCTGTGATAAGACTTTTCTAAAACTTTTAATTTAATCGTTATAATTGGACAAGTTTTTTTTTCATCTGTAAATATGTGAGTGCTAGGCTAGAGTACCTGTTGATCAAGGAGAGCTCTCTCGCAGACGGCGCGGAAGGCCCGCAGCGAGTCCGAGGAGGCTCCACCGGCGACGGTGCGCGCGGCGCTATTCGTCTTTCGACTCGCCTCGCTCACAGTTGCGCGTCTGTGCAACAAGTAATGTAATTCCTTCTCTGTCGCCTTGGCTTAGTGAACAATATCCTTGCCTTAATTGTTGTAGTGGCTAGCAACCCTGGCTGCTAAGCGAGTGGACGATGGTTCCATTTCCACCCAGGACAAATATCTATTGTGTTATGAGCACCATCATTTTTTTGTGTCTCGGTGTTATTTGTCTCTAATATACGTATTTAGTTTGTTGACGGCAATGGACTTGTGTCCTATTACGTAAGAAGGACTAAAATTATAGTCGACAAAATGTAAGCGATAAATACACTTCTGTGTACTCCTTTGAGGATAAAAAAGTGAGTGTATATATGATGGAGACATTGAGGAAGAAAAGCAGAACGAACAGACAGGATAATGTTACACTTCCCAAGGACGTAGGTTACGAGGAATGGAGAGACCTGAGCGGGCGCTGCTTCCGCTTCTTATAGCTGCCGTCGGAGAGCCCCGAGTCGTGCGAGAAGCGCTTGGCTTGCGGCGGCGGCAGCGTGGAGCGGCTGCTGCTGGTGTACTCGCCGCGCGGCATCACGGCCGCGGGCCCCGCCACCACGAGGGGCGCGCCGGACACGCTGGTGGGCGCGCCGGAGCTGCCCAGCTTGCCCACCGCCGCGATCTTGCGCTCCACGCCACCAGCGTCCACCACCAGTTTGTCACTGTACGAAAACCCCTTTACAAATACTACTAATGAATATATAAATTGAATAAATAAAGTCCAAGCAGTTAAGAATCTTTTGCTTTTGTTTGTCAATTCCTTTTTTGGGCTTTTCAGTTGTTATGGTTTTGTACTCTGTGTATGTGCATTAACGTAGCGTTTTGGGCACTCGATTGAATTCAAAGTGAGTATTTAAAAAATTTAGTCTTGAATCAAAAAAGGTTTTTAGCGACAGAACGGTATTAGCTTATTGGGTATACCTGTCGCCTGGCTATCTAACGTTTTCTGGTTGTATGTTTTAAAATTACTTTTTACCTATAACTTCGTTCATATTAATGCGAAATTCAATCAGTACAGATATCCCGGCAAGTACTGCCATATTCTCCTCGGCACCCTTGACAGTGTGTGTGCTAAATTTCATGATCTGCTGAGTAGATAGTATATACGCATTTGCTGTTATGTCTGTTCAAGATTATGTTACAGTGTACAGTAAGGTGGTATAGTAATGGAGCGGTTACCGCCTCGTTTCGGAGTCGTGCCGGCGGGAGGGTCGTACGGCGCCGCGCATGAATTTGTCGAGGTCGATGATGTCCGCCGGCGCGCGCTCGTCGCCCGACCAGGACCGCCCCGAGACCGACGTCGACCGCGCTGACATCCTCGACACGCTGCGCACATAAACATACCACACCAGTAACCAGGGTACCGGTACTACTGGAAGGCGACAGACCAACTGTTTCCACCTAAAGGGTAAAATTTTAGTAACGTACCCTGCCTTTGTCATCACCCCTCAAAATATATACAACGAAGTAAGAAGAGTCTTCAAGACCATATTTACGATACTGACTTCGCTGGATTATGATGATGTTAAAAACACATACTGGTTGCTATGTTTGCTGTAGAACGTAAGCGACACGTGGGTTAGTTTACTTCTGGTATAAACCATGTTAGGTGATCACCAGACCCGCAAACTCTCAATACTAGAACAAGAAACACATACCAGGTATCACATACACATGACGAACACACGGACAGACGGTAAAACCATGTCTCTTCGCCGTTTTGAACAGTTCTTCGACACTGTTTTGTGGAAGCAGAGTAGCGCGTTACGCGCTGTCAGTGTTGGGGCATGGTGGCGCGCTCAGCCGCCGCCAGCATCGCGACTGACACTGACGCTGCACTGACAACTTTCCATGTTTGAATTTTTATCATAAACTAAGAAGGTTCAAGTATAATTACATCTTATTGTTGTCTGTGATCAGCAGTACCAGGATTTCTTCAGGTATTATGTAATGATAACTAAAATTATACAACATCCCCAAAATCTCAGATACATTTTTTATGGGAAGTAGAAGACACTAGACAGGGCAGCACTGGAATGGACATTGTGCGATGTGCATCTACACAGTGGAAGTCTTCAGCAATGCGATGTCATGTCATGAAACGCTGATCAAGAAACTCAGCACTATGGCATCAAAAATAAAGCACTGGAACTTTTTACGTAACGTAAATTATGTCAGAAACCCTATTTTTCAATTGTGTATTATATAGAAGACAAAAATGCTTGAGATTAATTTAGCTCATTATATTTCTTAAGTGCAAATGACGGGCTGAGAACCATAGTGGTACAAGTATCAATAAAGATAATTTGAGAAAAAACGTTTTTTGTATATATTTTTGACATCATTTTACATAGGGATTGTAATAAAATACATCATGTATCTTTAATCGAATTTAATGTTTTACATATAAAATGTAATGGAAATTACAAATATTTCCATATGAAAATTAAAATACAAAATCACTTATACCGTTATGGCATACAGACTAATATAAACTATTTACTTATATCAGTATGGCACATAACAATTACTTACTTCTTTGCTTACACTTAAATCAGTCGAAATATAAGGAAATGATAACAAACAATGCTAAGAGGGATCTTTTTTAAATTTTGTTTCTTGTAATATATTTATTCGTCTAAAGTATAATCTAAAACACTTTCTTCATCGGTTTCGTTCAAGCTATTTTGTCGAGGTCGACCTCTTGCGCGACTTGTAGAGCTGGATTGTTTGTTAAAATTCTCATCGCTTTTTAATGCATTATAAAATGTATGATGTACTGGTGGAATGAATTTAAGGAGTTCCATTAAATCTTTGTATTTATCAGATTTTATTTTTATTTCGTTGTCCCGAAGTTTGGGAAGGATTTTCGGAATTATTCCTTTTTTGGCATCCATTTGAACGCAACGAAATGGCGAGTCATCCAGTGACTCTTTAAAGTACATATTCTTTGGTTTATCTTTTAGAAACCTCATCCATCTTATTTTTAGCCAATTTATTTTATTTTTAGCAGTGTCTATTTTTCTATTAATAATTACTTTTGAAATAGGATCTGTAGAAATGAAATCGTCTTGTTGCATTCTATGAACTTTAAATTTCTTGCGCGTTTTTTCAACTAAATTCATCCAGTCTTCAGGGACATAGATATGCTGGGTTTTCTTTTTCTGTTTTTCTATATGAGAAAAATCGGCGTCATTTTCTAAGTAACTGTGCCCAGATACCATAAATTTATGATCTACCGTAGCGATGTGCGTATGGGCTACGATATACATCCAAAGTCTGCAAATTATTTGATTACGATTTTGACCACCGCAACTGTCACTATATGCAACTAAGTGGTTGAAGTCTTTAGGAACGACATTATTGACATACTTTAATAGACAAGAAGCTATTTCCGATGCTCCTCGAGATGCAATGTTCTCACTCCACATGTACATGTGTGCATCGCCAGTTTTACAGTCATGAATCCCTAAATTGTAGGTCCATAACTGGCGTTTGTAATACACCAGATTTGTTTGTAAGTAAGGAGTAGGTAATGTTTTTTCTAAATCAAATGTGAATAAATTAACTGTTTTATCTTGTTTATCCTTATGTTTACTTTCTCTTGTTCTTTCAACGTCTAATAAGTGTTTTGTTTTTTCTTCCTTGATATTTTGCCGCTTTTCTGCATTTTCTTCACATTTGTATAGATTCTCTAGCCTGTCACATGTATTACACGTATCACTTCGTAATTTGTAAAATCCAAGATTGAATTCGTTATTAAATACTTTTCTGTATATTTGGTCCTTAACTGGCTGTTTGCCCTCGGCAATAACTTTTTCTTTGTATAAAGAATACATTTTTGCCACTGATAACTCAGGTGAAAGGTATCTTTTAAAGGGTGCATCCTCGCGTGAATAGTGGCTTTTAAATTTTGGAAAACTTTTGATGTGTGCCCGTATGTCTTGCAATTTGTCTTCATTGGTTTTATTACCGGGTTCATGTTTACCACGTTTGTCATATACAGGTAATCCTGTGATTGGAGTTTTAGTAAAAGCAGCGTTGGTAAATCTTCTATTAGAAATAGTCAACGCTTTCAAAAAAAAGTCTTTACATACTCTTTTAGTATTTAATATTATTACCGTACTTACTTTCTTCTTGCTGATTGAACGTTTCGGTTTCTGTATTTGAACACAGTATCTTATAAAATTTGTTTGTGCTTCCCAGCTTCCTAAATTCCAATACTCCGAATGAATTGTTTTACGCTCGCTTTCAGTAAAACTGTTGCATTGGTATCGGCAAACATGATTAAATGATTCCAAAACCTTAGCAGGTACTGTCTTGCCTTTAGTTGACACATACTCTTTTCCTTCATTTCGTCTCTGTTTTCTTATATTCTTCTTCCAGGTACTGATGTTCTTTTGTCTCTTTCGTGATTGTTTAGAAGTTTGTGTAAATGAATCTTCATCAGACTTTGCTTGCGAAATTGGAGGTGAATCGGGGATAACTGGCGGAGATCCAGTTGGCCCCTGTACAGTTGGTGAGATTGCGAATTGAATTATCTTGACTGGCTGGGAAGTAGATTGTATTTGCACAGTAGGTGGAGTAGCAGGTGGTATTAGCACATCTGGCGGTGACATGGCTTGGATTAGGTAATCTTCATCAAATTGTTCTTGTAAAATGGAAGGTGAATCGGGCAAACCTGGCGACTGACAATGACTTGTGGGAGACCTAACCAGCACGCCTATAACTGGCGATATTGCAGGTGGCACAGACTTATCTTGAGGTGATTCGTATGGGGTTGAGGCAGCTGAAACGTCTGTGATTGGCACGACTGGAGAAGAGAAGGATGCAATCGGTAACAAGTTCGGTGATGTTTGTACAATGAAATCAACTTCATGTCCTCTTTTTCTATTCTGAATTTTTGAAATATTTGAGTATTTATTAACTTTTTTTGGACTCGGTTTCCAAGTAACATCTACAACAAAGACATGAAAATATAGTAGTATTTATCTACCAACTGTTACAAGTGATGCCTACACATAAAACAATATGTTAAAATATTGAACCAGACCGGTACAAGTAACATGTAAACAAAACTTGACGATAAATTGATTTATAATAGTTGCGCGCAAGTAGTGATTAATTTACTTTAAACTTCATAATCATACACACACGCTAAAAAATATTTACTATACAGAGAAAGCGTTTTGTGACTTTTGTCTCACCTAAAATGTGTACAATTAAATTCCATACAAAAAGTATGAAAAGTAAAGTTATGCATCGTGTCAGATTCTTATTAAAATTTATTATGACCTAACTAGGTTTTAGTCAATATTTTACACAGATAACATAGTAGGATCTAAATATATTACGTACCTTCCACAGAATCATCGCTGTCTTCCAAAAAGCTAATTATTTTTTCGTTATTTAAAACCTTGTTAGCGCGTCGCTTCGCCATTTTGTTGTTTTAATCACTTATACCTTTATGGTTGTAACGAACTTACGTTAGTACTAAGACTGGCAGTTATCCCAGCCAACGCACAGATGGAGCTGTTCACAAAATCATTTGCATCGGTTTAGCATACTAAATATATGCACATGACAGATGGTTTACCATACTTAGATCACATTTTTAAAATTTGTCACTTGTACCATTATGGTTCTCAGCCCGTCAAATGTGGTGTTGGCTGGTGTGTTTATTTTTTTCTATTTTTTATGTTATACTTCACTTCCTCTCTTATTTGATCTTTTTTTTGAATCCTTTTGTCCCTTTATTGTATAGTACTCTTTACTGTATTAGTATAATTGTTAATAAATAAATTTTGCTAACTATTTGACAAAACAGTGATTGTTGCTATTGTGTGTGTTTATTTACTGCTTAAGAATCTACATAAAAGACAATTTAAAAAAAAAATGGGTTGCCTGTAAAGTCGGTATACGGGCGAAAGTTTTACGTGACAACGACTATGTCTGTTTCTCTCGCTCTTAGGCGGGCTAACCATGTCCGATTGGAAGGGACGCGTGCCTCTCACTCGCTCTCATTGTGAGCGCATAACGTGAGCGGAGCGTAACGCAGTTTCTTGAAGTGTCACCCGGCAAACCAATTTATAAGACGTTGTCACGTCAATATTTGAAATAACGATATTTTGAGTATGAGTTTTCTAATAAATTGGTACACTTAGTGTTCTGTATTGCTGAGGGTCACGACCTCTACGAATCATCATCCGCGCGATCGATCTCCACTTGTTACGGCCATCAGCAATGTGCGTGGCTTCGTGGACTTTTTGTTGGCGATTTCGCGGATTTGATCAGTTCAGCGCATGGTAACCCTTCTTCCTGGCCGCTTGTTCGTTATTTTCCGAATTAAAAGGAGCTTTTCAGGTTGTCGTTATGTGACCAAAGAACCAGTTACGGGTTATCATTCACTGCTTTATGTGATTCAGTACAAATAGTTGGTACATACTTTATATGGAGCCCTCACTAGATGGCGCTGAAGAAAGCATTATATACTATTCATATAATAAGTATGTACAAAACTTAGAACGTACTGGGTCTACCAATAGGGATGACCTGGTTTTGACAGCTCATATCATATTAATAAAAAATTGTGTTTTATTCAATTTTTAAACCAGGACGTTCTTATTGGTAGACCCCATATACATATATGTATGTGTTTGTATGTATGTATATATGTGTGTATACGTATATTTCAGAGTAGACTACCCCGTTACCGACTTGCCCACCATTGCGCAATTTTTAATTGTGCACAAATTTAAAAAGTTAGATTTTTTTAAGTAAGTATACAAACGTCTAGGTAAGTATAATTAGTGTCAATCTTTACATAGAACAAAATGAAGTCGCTTCAAGTTCTTGTACGCTTTAAACTACGAAAGGAATTGTAATGCGGTTTTCATCAATAGAGATAGTGATTCAAGAGGATATTTTATTTTTATAACTAGCTTTTGCCTGCGGCTCCGCCCGCGTAAATCTCGGTAATCGCGGTAAAACGTAGCCTATTTATATAATGTTTCCTCAAGATTCAAAGTATCTCCATGCTTAAACCTCCTTTCTAAGTAGAAACCTATATCCAGCAGTGGACTATTAAAGGCTGTTGATGTGATGTGATCTCTCACGAGGTATAAACGAGAGTCTATAGATATAATGTATGACTTTATAACAACGACTGCTTTCGACAATCATAAGTAGGTATCCATTTTTTTAGATTATCTAGAATCCAGAAAGAAGAGGATAATATAGCATAATAAATTAAATATTATCCAAAGGCCAGACAAAAGTTTAAATATCTCAAGTCAATACATAAATACTTCGTGGAGTTCTGTCCTGACAGCAGACAGTCACTTCTGGCCGGAATGTTCATCTAATTAAAAATAGTAGCACCTGTCAGCAGAAGAACAAATGAAAACTTTGGCCATGACACTCAAAATTACCTGAAAAATAATAAAGTAATCCAAAAAATATATGTGTTAACACAATGTAGTGTAGCTCCCGTGCGCTGCGACATGTTGACTATGAATACTACCGGTTCTGCCCTGTGGTGGTTACTGTGCTTCTTTATACAGGTACGTGCGCAAACTTGAGACGCTTATTTTCTATGCCGCAAGGTACCTCGACTTGGCTTGTGACATTACTTGAGAGGACGGGTCTGTAGCAAGCCGGCAAACCACGGTAATGAATTAATTTTTATTCGTCAGCTGACGTTGGTGTGGAAGTAATTGAATATTCTATTGGACATAACCATGGGACCCCAAGTACACAAAGTATTTGTAATGTATAATATTACATACCAATCCGTCTGGCCAGCATGGTATAGTAGGCCAAAACTTCCTTTCTAAGAAGAGGCCTATGTCCAGCAGTGGCCTATTAAAGTATGTTGATGTAATGATATGAACATAGAAATATCTAGAATTCTAGAGTACTCAGACAATAATAGACATCAGCCATACAAATAAATGAGCTGAGCTAGAATTGGGCGCCCGTGGCCCTTAAATTGCGTCGAATGCTTGATCGTTACATTGTTAGACGTCTGCTTGAAATTGTTCCGATGTCCACTAACCTTGAATGGCCGGAATTAATCTTTAGCAAAATAAAGTTGAGTTGTAGACTTTTATCCATTTTTCAGTCATTTTTTGCCTTTTTCTTTAGAAGTACGACGCTGTCAAACATACATAGGCAAGCAGTATAAGAGACTTTTTTATTGTCATAACTTTGGTAGGGTGTGGTTTTGGCTATATCCGCGAGCGAATCGCTCGGATCTGTGAGAACGTGTCTACAATATACCTACCTACCTAATTGTACTTGTCTATTACAGATTGTGGGTTCTTTAGCCTGTGGCAAGAAGGGGCCCAAAGCGTGTCGTCCGCCACGTTGTCCTGGCGGCTGCAAACCTAAGTACTGGTGAACACAGACCTTTACCAGGTTTGCTACCTGATCGGCACAATTTGTGCCATAGAGAAGCACTGGTATTATGGTTAATATCTCTTTACTGTTTTGTATTCTATCTATTTGTCAAGCAGAGAATACTCTGCTTCTATCAATAGTATTTTCCACCTGATCATTATGACATGTTTAATAGGGATTCCACACGGTGCAACCAAAATAAAGAATTTACCGTACATTACTGAAATATATATTTTTTTAGGGTATTTTCATTGCGAAAATTGTATAAATTTATTTATTTATCTTATATATAAAATTCTCGTGTCACAATGTTGTTGTTGTTGTCACACACAACCTCCGAAACGGCTTGACCGATTCTCATGAAATTTTGTGTGCACATCGGGTAGGTCTGAGAATCGGCCAACATCTATTTTTCATACTCCTAAATGGTAAGGGTGACCCATCCCTATATTTTTTTTATTTGCAATAGGTACAACGTTTGCCGGGTCAGCTAGTTTTATATAAAGTTTGGGCTACATTTATAAATTATATTAATGAAGCCCAAACTTAAGTAAGCTGTCCATATGTAGTTTATACGAAACGTTACCATCAAAGTATGTAAGATTATGTATGTTTAGAAAGCACGCTTTCAAAAATCGTGAATATTAATCGTTATTATCGCTGTTGAGCGATTTTAGAAATTCAGCAATTGATGATGAATGACGATTTATAAAATCAATCAAACTAAATTATTTTTCACGCTAGTACATATTTATCTATCGGAAATCTGCGGTAATGAAATAAATTATACTTTTGCACAATTTTATCCTTAATATTAAAACAAACATATTTTATGTAAGCAATATGAGACGGATACTGCGTAGAAAAAAATAATCTTACATGGCGCATAACACTTTCGAAGAGTCGTAAGTATGGGATAACAAAATATATTTTTTTCTTATGAAAGGTGATTCCAGGGTTTTTCATATCTGAATGGCTTCTACACCACTTCACGTCACATGACGGCATATTTGCGAAATCAATATGCGCAAAATCAGACTAATAAGCTGTCAAAACTCCCCGTAATAAAACCGCTCAACACGAGTCTCGGCGTACTGGTGCGCCGCACGCACACGGCCTGTCCGCCGCGCCATATATTCCGAAGAACCATGTTTAGGCTTTGTTACGCTTCTAGAGAAATCATTATTCGTAGGTAAAAGCTGTATCCGATTATCAGAAACCGATATTTAAATCGAATTATTTTTTTGGTCGCAAATAAACTAGCAAGTTGTTATTTGTGCAGCTTTCCGACTGGGTATGGTCGTTGTGTTGGTGGTTTGTCTGGATGATGGTGAACGCTACGGGTGCGCTCGGCTGCAAGAAGAAGACTATCTGTCGGCCGCCACCCGGCGCTAGGCCTGGTTGCGGCGGCCGCGGGAAGGGTTAACATTTAGACCCCACAAGGCACATGTGCTGACTACGACAGAAAGTAACCTACCACCGCCGTCACCGGCACCTGATGTAACAGCGAGAGAACATAGCAGAGAACACATCAATTAATACTCCACACGAAAGGTAAGTGTTATTTTTTGTCTGCGAACTGAGTTGCCACTGACCAGTAGACGGAGCATGTCAGGTGGCCAATGTCAACTTCCATCCATGTCACTTGGATAATTGGCTCTCCACCTCTGTGACAACCGTATCTGTGGGACAATCGTAATCTGTGTGATACCTACTAGGGGTACCTTTGAGCATTCAAGAAAAGAACATAGGAACTCCTACCTCAATTAAATTACGGGAATATATAGTTATTAAACGTTTCGCAATGTACCTACAGTATATTTTAAATACTGAAAAATATTTTTCATACCTGTATTTTTTCTGTACATAGTCTAATCCTAAGAAATGTCTAAATTAGAGTCAAACAATAACGCGTAATTATATGTGTAAATGTGAAGATAATGTAAGTTATTAAATACCTCTATTCATCCGTTATACATAGTAGAATATTGACCACATTTAAATGAATACTGAAAGCATAGAAAAATGTTGGTATGTTGTATTGATAATAATGTCTCTTGTGTCTATTATAAGCAAAAAGTAATAGTTGGTTTTGCGAAAGTCTTCTATCAAAATGATACATCATCACATCAACAGCCTATAATAGTCCATTGCTCGACATAGCCCTCTCCTTGGAAAGGAGGTTTTAGTTTTAGGTTTGTGTCAAGTTTTCCTTCTCTTTGCAGTGCTGTTGTCCTGCGTAGTTTGCTCCCTTAGTCGGCTCTTATGACACCCACGGGATGAATAGGGGTGGTGACATTCCGTATTCTTAATCCGTTACCAAAATGATACGGTTGTCTTTTATAGTAAAGTCCACAAGTTTTTGTTGTAGGCTGCTCAATAGTTCCTGATGGGAATTTGGCGAATAATAGTGACATAATTTGGTATTTGGAAAGGTTTCTTCTGCTATTGGTAGAATTTTATTTGTGTTTTGCTACTACCTACCGCTGAAAGTCGAAACATATTACTTTTATTCATGCGATTACCTAATCTTTCCTATGCAATAGGTCCCCATGACGCTCGAGTAAATACCCATTTAGCATCATGGGCTCCCCCACTATATGATAATACCAGGCAGCATATGATGGCCTGGTTTCTGATCGAGGTGTAAATTTTAACGCGAGCAATATTTTCCACAGCGCGCCATGAGCCACACCAGGAAGCCTCGCAGGAAACGACATTTCTAACATTTCGTGATAGTGTACACTTTACAATGTTTCTACAGTCCCAAGAATTGTTCCCACAAGAGATGAACCCGGGAGCTCGCGCAGCCCAGCCGGCTCACTATGAGGGCGATCACTTGCCGATTTATTTCTACCTTTGTTTATACATATCTGAATGAAAAATAAAACAAAAAGAGTAAATTTTATACAGTTTTTTTATTTGTCTTAAATAATAAACCCCTTGCACGACCACAACACGTCAGTAGTTCCTGAAACAAGGAGAACAGTGTTTTGCACTCAATGGTTTTTTGAATTTGATATTTGAGGGTGATTTCTTAATAAAGAACACCCAGACTCAAAACAACAATTTGTGGATCACACCAAGTGTTGTCATGTGGGGAACAAACCCACAACACTGCGCACTAGGAAAACATCGAAATGACGGCTTACTATCACCATCAACCACTACGCCATCCGTGCACTCAAGTTCTGTAAAAGATCCCCAGTTGTGTGGCTATTGATTGTATTTGATACATTAACTACTGTTGGACAAACTGCTAACCTAACCTAAAACAGCTTCACTACTGGACAAACTCAAATGAGAAGCAGTTGTATTATTTTTGATGAGTAGATATTAATATGTCCTCAACTAGGGAATTTAGAACACCAAGGTTTGCTGTGGTATGTCACCAGATATGAAATTGTACTTGTAATACCCAGTTATACCAATATTGTGAAATAGTATAATGAACTATGATGGAGGGAACAATGTAAAGAATATACGTAAGGGTTGGCCGAGCCAACCCAACAGTGGAAAGTAACTGTAGGTATCTCAATTCTATGGGTTCAGGGTTACTGACTGCATCTTCAACGTCTGCCATTATGAGCAGCAAACTGCAGCTGGCTTCATAGGCTGACTCTGGGCATGGCCAGTTCAACATTATTTTTTTGTTATGGTTGTTGCAACAGATGGCGTCGACACACTTGCACAACCTTTCGGTGAGCACTGAGAGCTCTCAACCTGTCTTAGAGTAACATCGCAAGAGTTGGAGCAGAATCAAAGTAGCTAAGAGAACTCACAGCATCAAGCAACCAAAACTGCCTCTTGCATGATTACATTAATTCTCGTGTACAAAAAAAAGCACAAAAATTCTATTCAAGTATATATACACATGATTACACTTACTTAGTCAATATGCCATCCTTCTTTGTGAGCCTGACTATGCAGTCATCTGACTCTCCCATGCGCCTGATGGCTCCGCACACCACATACATCTTGGCAGACTCGGTGGCGCGGCCCGAGGCAGGGTCCACGTCGGCAATCACCAACTGCACGGAAGCATGGTCCTTGGCGTGGATCAGACGGTTTGATGCCGAGCTGGAGCAAAGAATTATAATACTCATCATTAACAGTCTTTAATATTCCACTGCTGGAAATAGGCCTCTCCTTAGAAAGGAGGTTTTGGCCTGCTATAAAACGCTGGCCAGAAGGGTTGGTATAGTGTTTTTGTCAAGTTTGCCTTCTCTTTACAGGGCTGTTGTCCTGCATAGCAATGAAATGATGATAAAATGATATTTATTTCTGCAAGTAAATCTTTTCAGATATTTTTACAAGTCAGAGTATGGTCCCTTAGCTTTTACAACAGCCATAGGATGAATAGACCCCTATTCACCCCCATGGCTGTTGACACTCCATATTCTTAATCCACCACTACTATAATACTATATTAAAAACTTACAAGGGCAATCAATTAGTAAATGTAATAGTAAGTAAACCAATAACATCGCACAAGGTCATCTCATCAGAACCTAGACGGAGCCTGTTCCATGGTAACGAGACTGCAGATTAACATACTCATATATTTCTAAATTAAAATATAGTATGGATAAGTTACATCCAGACACAGAACAGATGCTCGTGGTCATTGCACTATCCACGACCCCAGACCTTAGGCTTAGCAGATTTTGTGTAACATCAGAATAATTGGTTTTTTCATGTTCACAGTTATTTGCAGAATACCTATGCCTAATATTTTTGAATAGTATAGTAGTAGTAGTAATATTCAAAATGGCTGGACCTATTTTGATAATATCTTACTACATGTAGCTGTCTATATAAGGAGTAACTTAAGCTATTCCTTGGAAAAACCCTATTATATTTAACCTGGTCTGGGAATCGAACCCAAGGCCTCATGGACTGCAGTCGCATACCGTACTACACCACTAAGGCAGCGCTTTTCAAATTCCAAGCAAACGAAGTCGCGGGTACCAGCTCGTAAATAAATAATACTTGTTAAAACAATGTCTCATCTACTTTCTGCATAAAACTTCCCTCTGAGGAAGATCGACTAACCTGTATGGCTGAACGGGTATATAGTACAGAATCTATCTTACGAATATATGTTATATGTCTAAAGCCTTGCAATATTTAACAAATGTAGGTCGCAGTGAAGCATATCGTCAATCACATAGCCATGTCATAACAATTGTTGCAATAAATATCAACTATTGAATGTTATGAAATGAAAATGAATCATTGTTAATGTTTGATCTGTCATAATTGAAATAGTTAAAGCTATTCGATATAAGTGGAAATATTCGAGTACATAGTACTTCTAACATTAAATAGAGTTTTTGGAACTAAATTATGTCTTTTTAGACAAGAAACAACACTTCCGAAGCGCATTTTGACAGCGTGTTGCGGCGGCAATGTGGTCAACAAGTCTAAATAACCTCAATGTGCTCACCATTTCCTCGGGCAGTACAAGTCAACGAATTCACCAGCGTCGTTCTGCATGTTGTATGTCTGAAACCCAAGTTTATAGTCACCACGAGCTACTTTTGTGTCTAAATACACAATTAATTGATAAATTACAAAAATATTCACCTTAAAGCACACCTAACACGGAAATGACAGATGCGAAAGAAAGAAAGAACCAGAGACAAGTAGTCAAAGACAGATAGAGTATAGTGTAGGGATGGTGGATAGTAACAAGACCATAAATAATATGATGGTTAAGAAAAACTTACTTTTAAAAATAGTAAAAATAAATTTTTGATAATATTTGGTGTCCAAATGAATAAAAAATATTATTGATTAGCGATCAGACATTTACGGTCTTAAACTTTTGATTGATGATCTTAAATAAATTATTTCTCATTTGACTTGAATTCAACTTGAAGTTTATAAGGGACAAAACCAACATCCTTGCTATTTAGAAACATTGACAGAAGAATATTATTCCGAAGACAATAGGATTGTGTAATAAGAATTAATGATAAAGTACCTACGTTAACTTGTTGATAGCAATGACAACTCATTTGTGACAACCAGCTGTCACTTGTCTCGACTTCAATGCTAAATACTAAGTAGGTACTAAGTACCAGTCTGTATAGTGGACTATGAAAGGCTGTTGATGTGTAATGTGGAACTAAAATTATAGCCATAGCCGTTCAACTTTTGAATGCAAAGTTCTAAAAATCTGATAATTAAAACTAATTATAGAAGGTAAATTTGTTTTTAATTATATAGTATAGTAATTGTCGATTATATTACCAGCCAAATAAATACAACAATAATCCCCACCCTTAGGTTATTAATTAATCTATGTCCCTGCCATGAGGTACGCAAGACAGTACAAAAATCCCATACATGCCTGCCATTTGTGCTTTGCACGTGTTGTAATAATAATTCAACTGCTCAAGCAATCTATTTCACATCACACATCAACAGGACTATTAAAGTCCACTGCTGGACACAGGCCTTTCCATCGAAAGGGGGTTTTTGCCAACTACACCACGCTGATTTGACGGGTTTTAAATAGGGTTTGTGGCAAGTTTTCCTTCTCTTTGCAGTGCTATTCTTCTGGGTAGTTTGCTCTCTTAGTTCTGACGACACCCACGATGAATAGGGTTGTTGACAATCCCTACTCTTAATCCGGCACCACACGGGCACAGTAATCTATTTATTCGAATTAATTTATGGGACAGAGTCAAATATGCTTGAGCTCTTAAACTTAGTTTTGTTAAAGATAATAAAATAAAATAAATAATGATTGTTAGAGTTTCCTTTCCCGCTCCAAATCCCTTTCTTTTTTCTCAATTATTTGGCATGATCAGCTGGTCGGAAAGTGGCCAGTAACGCAAACATTAATTTTCATGAAGGCACCCAGAGGCACACAGCTCTGGGCACGTCGTTATCGCGGCGGTAAGACCCGTTATGGAGGATTGGCTCGAGAGGAATCATGGAACCCTCTCATACCCCTGACGCAGGTGATCACCGGGAAATTTGCGTAGGAGATGTCTGATCCGCAAGGAGCCAACGCCTGAGTGTCACCACTGCGATGGGCGGATCGTGGACACGGCGCACTGTGGAATATGGTAGAACAAAGGCATATCAAAATTGATTTTTATCACTGATTGAAATTGGGCACTTTACGAATGTAATTTAAAAGTTCAGAAGTCGAGGTTTAATATTCTGCAGCGTAACTCCTATTGTATTTGGTATATATTTTTTTTTCATGTAGTAAAGTTAAACGTTTAAGCAATTGGGAAATATTTAGTTGTTTATTTACGTTTTTCAACGTGAAATAGTTTTAAAACTTGAAATGAAAGGTATAAGGTATTATATATTTTTATAAAGCTCATCTATCAGAGGAAATAAATAAATACAATTGATTGTTTTTAAAACGAATATATAATTAAAACCAATTTAAAGAAAAAATGGGGAAAAATATTCCTTCCTCAACTTCGTCGAAGCTTTTACCATTTAGAGTTGTTTACCGATGCTTTGAATTTAATGGTAATTCATAGGTTAGTTACTCACCTAAAACATATAAAAAAATTAGCTGCGGTTTTTTTGCGGTTTACGAAGATATGGGAAAAAATCGAATACTAGTCTGGGAACGGAAATCGCTATCAAATGCGGTTTCGTAGTTTACTTTTATTATCAATAACTTGTGATACGTTTTATGAATTAATTATTTGATATTGTTAAGTTTTTATCATTTCGATGTCATTTTTCTTAAATAAATATCTTAAAATAGATATCTGAAATATTCCCACATTCTGAAACAATATAAAAAGGGCAGTGAAAAAATATTTCTCCATTACCGTTTCTACCTACTCTAGTACGGCTGTTTCATTATTCAATATGTCGACTTTTAACTGTACTAAACGTGAGTTAATAGTGTCTTATATAGAAGGCGGAAAAACGACTGCGGCACTTTCAACATATTTGTAGGGAAAACAAGTTTCAGAAGACAATATATGTTTTATTATTGGTCATATTCAAAGGGATATCATCCCATCGTTTAATAAACGCTGGAGTGAAGCAGGACGCAATAAAAATACCTTTTTAAGAAAGAACATCAATTGGTTGGATTCTGAATATTCGTTAACCATACCAACATCAGAAAATGTATCAACGGACTCTACACCGTCTACTTCTTCTGGTAAAAGAGGAAGATCGTGTGTGTCATATGGAGACTCTTCAGAATCGAGCAAAAAAAAGAAAAACACCGTTTTGCTAAATGAATATGGTTTGGAGCACATTCTAAGCGCATATCTTCAAGGATTGCGCATATCTTCTATAGAAGAACGAACTGAAGCAAAAGCTGTTGAAAAATTAAGGTTGGCTGATGCAGAGAAAAAGGTTTTCGTTATAAATCAATTAGATGATGCAAAAATAATTAAAGGGCTTACAGATGAAGAAGCCTAAGTGTCTTCATCGACTTGGAACTAACAAAGGTATAATATCTGTATCTCAGGAACGTTACAGATGAAAGAAACTGTTCTTTATTTCCACCATACTACAAAATACAAGAAATGAAACAGAAATGCTATCCACCATCATCAACAATCGAAATCACAAATACTTTTGCAAAAATATTGAGAGTTCAAGATCTATTAGATCACACTGCAGCTCGAATTTTATGTATAGATACAGTTTACAAGAATGGACAAAAACATTTAATATTATATAGCAAATGGGGTTGTGATGGGTCATCTGGACAAAGCCAGTACAAGCAACCTCTACCAGAGGAGTATTACTTCTTTTGTGCCTATCAGATTAATTGACGAGGAAACAGGCGCCATCATATGGCAAAATCCAGTGCCTTCATCTGTTCGTTTTTGTCGGCCTATATCTATAGAATTTTGCAAAGAAACACCAGAAAAAACTAAATCTGTTGTAGATGAAATAAAAAATCAAATACAAACTTTGCTTCCATCAGTAAATAATAAAGAAGGCGTGGGAGTTCAAGTCAAGCATGAACTTTTTTTTAAACGATGATAGACGGAAAAGTGGCACAAGTTTTAACAGATACGCCTTCTAGTTCCACATGTACAATATGCGGAGCAACTCCTAGACAAATGAATGATTTAACAAAAGTAACGGCCAGGCCTGAAAATGCAAATGCTTATCAATACGGATTATCCACATTACATGCCTGGATTCGTTGCATGGAAATGATATTACACATATCATATAATCTATCTTTCCAAACGTGGTCTGCTACAAGCGAAGAAAAAACAAGAAAAAAAGGCTGAAGTACAGAAGCGATTTCGTGAAGAGTTGGGTCTAAATATTGACAAACCACGACAGGGGACGGGAAATAGTAATGATGGCAATACTGCTAGAAGATTTTTTTACAATGCTGCCTGTTCTGCTGATATCACAGGAGTTGACATTGATTTAATTTAACGGTTATACATAATTTTACAGGCTTTGTCATCTGGTATAGTGGTAGATAGTAAGAAATTTGGTAATTATGCTCTGGAAACAGCAAGAATATACGTGAGTAAATATAGTTGGTATTACATGCCATCATCTGTCCACAAAATTTTAATTCACGGAGAGAGTATCATAAACCATTTCGCAGTATTACCAATTGGACAACAACTTTCAAAAGATGCTCAAGAATCTCGCAATAAGGACTATAAAAAATTTCGCTTTCCCCTTGCTCGGAAATGCTCTCGAATAGCTACAAACGAATAGCTAAAAACTTTACACCTCAGATTCATATATAACGAGCATAAGAAAACCATATGCAAAAAATGTTAAGGAGCTCGATGAAGATACTTTACACCTTCTCAAGGTTAATGAACTTATTTCAGATCCTGAAGCTCACAGGGTGTAAGATGTCAATCTTGCTGAAAGAAATATATATATATATTGCGATAATTTTAATTCAATGTGTTTCTATATTTAAGCGTAGTGTTATAGGTATTTTTACATTTTTAATTTTATATAATCATTTTAATGTTAATCACCTTAATTGAGTTATTAGAATTAAAAAATACTCATACGATATGTTTGTAAAAAAATATATTTCAATAAATGAATATTATTGTTAATGATTGTGACTTTCTTCATCAATTAAAAAAAAATACGCATCATTCCAATTCATCAAACATTACTTATATGAACTCTTATGTATTACTTTATATTAGAACAAAATTTGATAGCTTTATCTTTCGAATTGACGGAGTTACAGATTTTTAATCCGAAACACACCGAAATATTCCACAGTGCGGCGTGATCGTGGACACTCCATACGCTGGCAGGCCTAGGGATGGCAGGTCAGGCCATCTGTCGCCCTAACAGAAGCAGGCCAGGATGGTGGTGAGACGCGCTGCGCATCGCGCGCCCCTTTTTAGGAGCACAAAGAAGACATGGGGGTTCCCACACAGGAGGGGTCATTTTAAAAATAAAAAGAGGGGACACAGGGCGATAGGGGCACAAACTCTTGAAAAACGAAGTTTAAGATATCTGCCGTTCTACTCAACCGATCTGGTTAAAATTGTAACAGTATTCCAGTATTCAGTCGTGTAAACAAAATATGTCAAAACTGTTTTTGTCGTCGTGAAGCTTGAACGAACTAACAGATAAGGATTAAAAAAACAAATGGTTTCATAAGAATAGAGATAAAATTAGTAGTTGCTCAATTGTTTCAGTTTCAATTGTTATTGCTGTACAACTGTTCATTGCATCACCTGTGCGTGCAGTTGTTGGTTCTTCTATACCAGGTCGACCCTAAGTGATCAATATCGACACCTTAATTTGTTTCCCAGGGGCCAACATCAACGAAAACTGATTGTGGGATCGACAAGGTCTTAAAATCGACCCCTAATAATTAACACAAGTTTTCATTTGAAACTTTCAAGGTACTGTATTAGTTGTGTTACGTGTACCAACTTGAATGTAGGTACGTGTACCAAGAATGACTAATATTTTGTATCATTGTTGTACTTTTAAAAAACTCAACAAGTCGATAAGCGTGCAGTAATTTGGCTTTGGGGGGTCTAAGGCTCATTGTAGAAAGGGGGTTTTAAAAAATAGTTTGGGAATCTCTTGTCTATACTTTTGTCCTTGATGAATGAAAAGACAAATCTTAAATGTATACATGTATTGTACGAGTACTGTACTGTTAATCATTTAACTAATTGATAAATATATTAATTTAGCCTGTGTACATAATATCATGCTGTAATATTTCAAAGACCAATTCTAACAAGAAAATCCCTTTATAAAAAGTTGGACCGTTACCGTGGGAGACCGTCAAAATAATAGGTTTATTTAATGCTCACACGGTTATTTGAACGATACCTATGCCTTTTCTTTTTTTGTTGACGGGGTGGAAAATCCCTTCGGATCTCCTGCTCCTCGGGAACTTAAATGAGCCAGGAGTATGTGGTGATTCCCCTAAAAACCACCCCGACGGCCGGCCTCAGGTGTCCTACTCTGGGGAGGACCCGGACCATGTTATTTCAGGTCCTCTCCGAATTGACACCATGCCTAATCAGGCCCTATCCCAGGGGAGAACACTTCCCCAATCAATGGCGGCATGGCGGCCCGATCGCATCTTAATGCAATCAGGCCGGCCATTCCATGCCCTACCGCAGCAATCAATTTGCCACCAGAGGTCCCCTCTCTGGCGGCCTGCGGCCCCGTCGACGGCTGTTATCGGCGCCGACGTCCTCTACGTTCGGGATCGGCCCTCTCCCAACGATACCTATGCCTATAACCCAGTTTAAATATTTTTTGTCTGTCTCTCTGTTTTCTGTTTCTAAACGGCTGGACCGATTTTGATTATATTTTATTACCAGGTAGCTGTCTGTGTAAGGAGTAATTTAGGCTAATTTGCCTCTCAGAAAAACCTTATAAAATTTTGCCCGGTCCAGGAATCAAACACGCCATTAAGGCAGCGCTTTTAAAATTACACACGAACGAAGTCGCGGGCACCAGCTAGTTCAAAATAAAGAAACCAATAAAAGTATTTTGAAAAGGTTGTTATTGTTTATTTCAATATATTTGTTCAGATGCGAGTGTTTTTAACAAATGTAAATTTACGTTTGCATTAACTATACAAGCAGCGTCACTTCGTAACGACAATTAATTACTACTTACAAATACAGACAGTAATCTATTAACTAGACAATGTGCTGTTGGTCAAAATGCGATTCTTAACGGTAAGTTATGTGTATAATTTGTTTTAGGAACAGTTTTAAAATTTTGTATCCGGTCATATTAAAGGAAATCCTTTATATCATTCACGAGTGTGTACTTGCAATCTTTGGCTATTTAACGAGAAATGTGTGTCCGTTTGAGATACATTCCAATAGGACATTACGTATGCACGTTCGATTCGACTTCCATTTGCAACCAGCTGGTATCCGTGACTTCGTTCGCGTGGAATTTGAAAAGCACTGTTTTAGCGATACGCGACTGCAGTCCATGAGGCCTCGGGTTTGATTCCCGGACCGGGCAAAATTTTATATGATTTTTCTGAGAGGAAAAATACTCCTTACACAGACAGCTATCTGGTAGTAAAATATTATCAAAATCGGTCCTGCCGTCTAGAAGATTACCCGGAACAAATACACAGACAGAATTTTATTTATTTGTATAGATGTATAGATTAGAGGTTTAAAATGCGTGAGCAAAGGCCTGCTCCGTTTCTACGTCCGTACGTTCGTCCCGGGTGGAAGCGCCGCCAAGAACGGAGCGGGCCTGTATAATTATATTGCTTTATAATATAAAGATGTCCCATAGTATAGTCTTATCAACGCCTACTCAAACAAACTTTATGTCACAAAACACCTATATAAGTTTTGAGATGCTCTAAATTTGAAAATGGAACGCATCTGAGTGTGTGTTTGTGTTGTTTATAACGACGGATTTGTGTGTAGGCATTGTAAAGGACGATCTAAATAAAACTAAAAAGTCACCTAACATCGATAAGTACCATTTCCCCGTATCTGAGTCAGCAAAATAAGCAATTGAATGTATGCTGCTGATCTGAGTCTACTGGCTGATTTATCTTCGGAAGGTTCCGGAATTCCACTCACAGGCAATCCAATACCTCTCTCTTCTACCTGTATTATCTCTGTGGAGATCACCGGATACCTGATCTCCCATAATTCTTTCACTCAAGAGGCCCGCAACGCACTTGTGTCTCCTGAATGGCAGGTCCATGGGCGGTGGAAGTCACTTACCATTAGGTGGCAGGTGCTAAAGTAGTTTATGTAAATAACTATCATCATCATCGACAGCCTTTAACAGACCACTGCTGGACACAGGCCTCTCCTTAGAAAGGAGGTTTTGGCCTACTATACCACGCTGGCCTGATGGGTTGGTATAGGGTTTGTGTCAAGTTTTTCTTCACTTTGCAATGCTGTTGTCCTTCGTGGTTTGCTCCCTTAGTCGGCTCTTACGACATCAGCGGGGTGACCCTCCGTATTCTTAATCCGTCACCACACGGACCGGATAAATAACTATACTTTAGTTTATACAAATTTAATATACTATGTTATTACTTATTGATTACACATCGCAGGATTATTTTTTTAATGAAAACAGTTGTGGGGTCGTTGTGGCTGTTGCTTGTTCAGATGTTTGTCTCGTTTGTTTCTAACACATACACATTGTGTAGGGCGCCGACGTCACTGGCCCACGGCACGCCGCCACCTAACACTTATAAATAAATACTGTTTGCTGCCTTTGCAGATTGTCAGTCAACAGTGAGAATGCGACTTCTACAGGTAAGCGTTTCTTTGTTTAAGTTTTTTTGATCCTCTTAGTTATGTTTTAATCGTTGTTAAATATATCCTCTTTTCTTTCTATCATTTAGATAGGCAGAAGCGTTTAACACCTACATTTTAACAACTTTAAATAAATATACTTAAATAAAAAGCCTTATTACCAGTAACTTGAGCTAATAGACCAAGAGCTGGAAATTCTTATAGCGATGAGTCATAGCATGCTAAGTACGGTAACCATCACCTGGCACGCCTCAGCCCTGCACGTCATCAACCCCTATATTTTTGAAAGTATAGGAAAATTTTTAAAAAATTACTTGTTGCTGTAAGCGTAAAATTTTTATACGATTTTGTTCAATCATTGTGGTTTGAAAAAAAAATTGACAGGCCTTTGCAAAATAAACTTTCTTCTGTAAAGTTGAAATTTATATATGTGTTTTATAAAGTAAGTAAGTTCAATGAGAGGCGGTTCTGGCTAGCAAAAGCCCTAGACAGGTGAGGGGACAGATGCTATGAGAGTGCGACTAAGATTGTACCAGTATCATTGTATGTTTGTATTGTGCAGGATTACCCGGTTTGCCTCTTGCTGGCAATCGCATTTTGCAACATTGAGGTCAACGACGCCGCGTCCACAACTATGGTGTGCATCAATGGCAATTGTCGTTACAGTAGCCAGGGTGCTGGGCCTCTTGATGCCTCCTCGTCTCCCGACGCTCCCTCGCCCCCGGGTGCCCCTACCGCCTACCAAGCGGAGGATTTCTGGGATTTATCAGCAAGCTCTTTTGAAGAGCCTTGGGAGAAAATTTTCGATTTGTTTTAGAACTTGTTATTATACTTAATAAAATGTGCCAAACGACTTTAGTACCTTCCCGTCTGTCCAATATTGTTAACATTTTCATTTTATGAAGTGTGTAAATGTTACTTGAAGTTCGATAGATGGCGTTGATAGTACCTTTGTGCATCGCGCTATTGTTTCGTAGCGGTGTTTTATATATATAAGGTCAATGTAATAATTTGATTTTAAGCAGCACTAGGCTAGCAATATTGTAGTAAAACAATAAATATCTTGTCCAATGACTTGAGTTTCATTGTGTCCTCACCTCGACAGAACCAGAAATTCGTTCACCGTCGTCGAATTTGTTTTAGTTTCTACCTGTGACGGAGCGGGGCAGTCTTTGCCGTAAATATCGGCAAATACCTTATTTTTTATATGTGTCGAGGGAGCAGACCTGCAGACGGGTCATCTGATGGAAAATCACCATCGCCGCCCATGAACGTCTGAGTGAATGAGTCACAAACGCGTTGCCAGCCTTTTAGGAAGGAGTACGCTCTTTTCTTGAAGTTTTGAAGGTCTTATCGGTCCGGAAATACTGCAGACTATGGTAATTAGACTGTGTATTTGTAATCCTCGTGATTAATCTCCAATTCAAAAAATGACCTAATCTATCCTAAGCAATCGTCTTTTGCTACATTAACCTCTCTGATTATAACAGAAATAATTTTTTTTAAACAAAAAAAAACGGGAAAAGTAAACCACTAAAACAAAGGAGTGACTTGAGCTCTTGTTACATTACCTGGGCCTCAATTCTGCTATTTTATGTTTACGCCAAGCCGCTGTCATACCACTGACACGCTATTGAGATGCCATCGAGTAGCCATTGGCATCGGTATAAATATCGGTAGTTGAAAATATATTACGTTTTTTGAGGAACATGATTTTATTTATTTTTAACTTTTACTGATTTTTGAGTCTCGTAATTTACAACACCAAATGTTTACACAAAGCTAAAGTATAGCTGTAGCTATACAATATAACTTGAAGAACGTGTATTGGACCATTTCGAAACTGAAGAACGTATGACCATTTCACGCAGACCATTTAACCCTACATGCAGTTTACGTAGGGCTGCTCGTACATTCAGTGTTCACCATAGAAAGGTCGACGGTATTTTAAAGGCTAATAGACGGCCTTTCAGGTTTCGAAAAGTACAGGCTTTATTAAACAGAGATCAACCCATAAGAGTCGCATACTGTCCAGTGGTTATGTACAAACGTTATGTGGACTGAGGAGAGTACCTTCACACGTAATGTCCTTCGATTACGTAAGCCATCCGCAAAGCGCTTTATAGCTTGCTGCTCGTTTACAGACTTCAGAACACTATAGTTATTGTCGTTTCCATTAGCTTGCGTAATTGTAAGATCAACGAATAATTCGGTCATTTTTTGGCCATAATAGTTGATAGACAAATCGTTCTGTCTAAAAGGTTGTAACTTTGTTTGCATGGCGGAAGCGGATTTTTTAGGTAATAAATGCTTTCGCATATCTTGTAATAATTCATCTATTGTGGGATAGGTGCGACACAAACATAATTTTGCTGAGTGATTTAACCGATTTTTCAATACAAAGTTAATAAGATCAATTCGTGATTCATTTGTAAGAGTAGTGCTATAATACTCGATGCCATCGATCAATTTCTCAGTAGTAGTCATTTTACCATCCATAACAGGCAATAGGCTTAACGCAATCTTCAAGTTAAATTCCATGGTTACAGTTTTGATAATAGGGCACTCACTACAAAGTTCTATTATTTTAGAATATATGTTTTTAAACTTTGAACAATATTCATTTATTAAGAGACGCTCGTCTTTTGAAATTCTGCCTAGATTAATAGATTCATTAATATTTTTGAGACTTTCACTATACTTAGTATTTATTAAATTGGCCTCAACAAGCTTTTTTACGAGTACTTATGGTACTTAGGTAGCATATATTACGCTCTAAAAAAAAAGTAAATTAAGATTAAAACGTGTCCTGTGTCTGATTTTACCCGATTTAGATAACTATTGTCACTTTCCGCACATTACTAACACCAACACATTTTTTTTAAGGCACTTCCACTTTGTCCCGCACTTTTTTTTTTTTTGGTTTCGTATTATTAGTACTGCCTTACAATGCCCAGCATTATGCGGTTTCTTCTTTAAAACCCCTGCGAGCCTCTCGCCGGAATAAGGACAGCTGTCTTTGCAACGACCTATGGTCTATTTCTTGCCTCATCCAGCCCAATTGGCTTTTGCGATAGATCTTGTAAATGCCAAAAAGTGCAGCACAGCATAGCAACGTTGTCATCAAAATTAGCAAAATATTTGTGATGCTTAGATGGTACCCAATATTGTTTGTGGCCGCTCCAGCAGCGTTCTGCGCAAGGATGACCTCGTCTTTAGGCTGGCTACCACCCATTTTGACCTTGTATATTTGCCGAAATTTCGTACTTTTATGGCAGGGTCGCCATGTGACGTTGGGAGTCTATTTAAATAATACTCAGTTGAATGTGAATGCAAGACTGACTATAATTCGAATCAATCCATTGTTTTATAGTTTCTCTTATATCTATCTTACATCTACTACATCACATGGTCTCGAGAAAGAGATTTGTACTACATAGAGTATTCAATAAGGAATGGTTTGGGTATGTAACCTTAATTTCTTATTTTATCACTATGGCTCAACTGGATCAACTCCATACAAAATGTATGTTTTTGCGACAACCGACTCAAACTTGCAAAATATCTCATACTTCTAAACACTATAAACTTCATTCAACCTCGTAACTTGAATATTATTGATTGTCTACAAGGTTACACGTGGTGTTGTGATACGTTTTGTAAAAGTAGAAATAACCACCACTCTCTTCTTGCCCCGCACAACCAATCTGTAGAAAGGGTTGCGACCTTCAAACCATCAAAAAAAGAGAGTACTCCTTCACTTACATCAATTTTCTGTGGAAATAAATTTTGCAAAAAAAAACGCGTTGTGACGGAGCCTTACTGTACTGTACTACTTACTGTATTACATTGATATTGATCGAATTTAATTGACATATAATGACAAGACAAAGTACAACTCAACGTACCTGCAACCACAGAATACGTATTCTCTTCCAGTAATCTTCGTCGGTATTTCAATATTTAAAATATTAGTCATATTTTAAATATTGAAATATCGATGTTTCATTTGTTTTACATTATGGTAATAAACCGGTGCTTCCTTTGACACCGGTAAATTTAATAATATTGCTTTTGACATATAAGTACTTGATTCAACTCTCACATTCAAATAGTCTATTTGCTGGAAAAAAGTATGGCTCTGATAATACAATTGTGTTCACACGTATTCTGCCTTGCAGTTTGCACTGCAAATATCCATTTGTCAACATTTAAAACGGTTGAGGGATCCGTGGACCCCGGTTGGAACGAAGTTCCTTTCTCCGAAGAAAAAGATGTGAGCGTCGACGCGCCAATTGAAGTGTCGGAAAAAGTCTTGTTACACATTTTCGGTCTCGCTCGAATCCGCTCAGAGCGTGTAACGCACGATGAGGAACTTCGTTTCATTAAAAGGTTAAATACAGCGTAGATTTTAATATTTATAATTTTGATACTCAGTTACACACATTAAAATACATGTACTTAAATTAATTTAAAAGAATAGCAGTTATTAAGAAATTCATTTTCAGTCATTTTCTAAATAATAAATATGGATACCCTTTACGGTGAAATAAACACTTTGTTAACGGTACTTAAATATTTCTTGTTTTTTTTTTAAATAGTCAATAAACTGCGTGATATGGATAATATCAAGTGTCACATTTATACATACCCCAGTGCTGCCACTTTCAAGAATTTTGTCCAATACTAGGGGCTTTTTATATTACTACATGGATTTAGAGATTTTGAATATGTTTTAATCTAGTTTACTTTATGGCTCTATTAATTTATTTTAAGAGGATTCCCAAAATTCATATTCACCTTTTCATCATTTCGTTTTTCTTACAATTGGTACTATTTTCGTCAACACTGATGATAGAGATTCAACTCAACTCAACTCAAACTTTCTTTATTTCATAAAATTTCCAAAATTGTTTGAAATCGTCTTCCATGTAGACTCTAAAGTCATAGACCAACACACACAAAGGCAACAATATCTGTTTTGTCAAATAGTAACCAAATAAATGTAACAAAAATCAAACCCATACAAAATCTATGATATGCCTGTGCCGCTCTACAACCGCCCGTTTCCAAGGGGTTGAGCCTTATGAGAAGAAAGGGCAAACAAACTCATAGGTTGGTAGAATTTCGGTAGATTTTTTTTACTTTAGTAGATTTCAGTAGATTTTTGTAGAAAAAGTTGCCGAATTTAGTAGATTAGTAATATTTCATAACGGTCACACTGACAATAAAATACAAAACAATACCTAGATATCTAATTAGCTCAGTTGATCTGATAAAAGAGCAGTGAACTTAGTGCCTTAGTTACCTAAATGAAAATAAGTTATCCTCAGATAGTGTTCTAATTAGTTGCTCAGTCCTGGTGCGCTGGAGTCTATTATTCCACAAAGGTTTACACCACTGAGATTTGGTTTACAACAGACAGGATGACAGAAGTAAGTAGCCGCTCTCATTGCATATATTATTATGTATACACTGCTTCGTTTTCGTTTTCTTATGTATATTCTGCGTTTATTATGTATGTATGTAGTGTTCAGTTTCTATTTTTTCAAAAATCACTTCAGTCATCAAACAGGCTGTCATTAAAAAAATAAAACTGCAAAAAACAAAACTGTTTAGTTGATATCAAATTGTATTAAAATATCATCATTTTATACCTATATATGTTATCTATACATCTATTCAAAGCACAAAGCACTCCAGTGCTACATTTACAGGACTCTGTTTAAGCTACTTTCAAACCCCACAAATATAAAAAATTAATTAAAGTTACATAAGTAGTGAGCTGTTGTTGTGTTTCATTTTTGGAATATTAGTCATTTAGATTTAAGGAAATAGAATGAGAAATCACCTTATTGTACACATACTTTGCTAAAATTAGTGTGTACTTTGTGAAACGTCTAGCAGACTCATAAAACATTTTCTTTAATTTTACAGATTAGCTCAATGGTTAACAAAATGTATAACAAAATAAAGAAAGGAATAATATAGATATTTTATTGGCTGCTTCAATTAACAGAACATGATACTGATTCAAAATACAATGGGAAAGTTTTACAAGAAGCGTGCTGGAACGTCTGGGATCAGTGGCCACCTCTATGAGACTAAGCTCATTGCTTTAATTCTATACCGATTGACGCATGATGACTGCATTGAAGATTTTTGTTTGGTTTCCAACATGGACGAGATAGGGGCCTTTGATGACATTTGTATTAAAATTAAAATAAAAGGTTATGATCGTCCCGTTGCGATATTCATACAAGTGAAACACAAAGAAAATGATGACAAGTTCCCCACGTTCGATAATAAAAATGAATCAGTTAAATGGTTTGAAAGTCTTTCGAAAATAAAAAAGAAAATAACTGTAAACAGGAGCCAAGATCAGTTTTTTAATGCAGATATTGCTGAATCGGATTGTGTTTTCATTCTGTACACAAATGCAAGGTGCGACTTTGATTCCAACACACCGTATTTGAGTGATTATGATATTACTTTAAATAAATTGTTAGCAACCAGTAGCACAGTTGGTACTCTGCCGCTCTACAACGAACAACATGTTGAAGCTTTTGGTGAAATCATTTTAAAAGAAGATATTAATGTGCTGGTCGAACACTTTGCGAAGTATTTAAATGATAAAACAAACCGGTCACTGAATATGATGAACGACGAGTGTATACACCAGTATCATGCCATATTGAAGTTCAAAGTTGTTGACATCACTGAAATACAAACAGATGACCAGAAACCTGATGTGAAATGGCGTACTTTGACATTTCGGGATGATTTCTTCGCAAATAACGACAAATATATAGTACTATTCAGAGACCAATTGTTTAAAGAAATACTTAAAAACCATCCAAAGATAAGAATGGAAGGTGTATCAGATAACAAACAGTCACAGGATTTGTCTGCACAAGAAGCGTCTGTAGACGATCTAATATCATCGTTTTTATCGAACCCATCAGTTGCTTCATTAACTCCTCTGATTATAACCCAAATTGCAAGTAATGGAAACGGCAAATTAGAATTCTTATTTAAAAGACCATTCCATGATATAGAGCAACTGCGATTGATGAATATTCCTCAGGGCATAATAGACGAAGCGTTAAGCGCAGCCACTGCCACAGCAACGCGCTTTCTACGGTCACTTACACTGAAAGTTCCGATCACTTTCGGTAATGTAGACTTGGCGATAAGTGGGAACCCCAAGAAAATTGCGAAGAGGTTAAACTATCTGACGTCTACCATTGTGGATCTATGTAAACTATATGAACCAAAGGGATCATATAAGGTTGTCAGAATTGACGACACCATAGATGGAGGTATATTAAGCTCGAACGGAGGCTTAGCCAGCGCCGTCGGTAACATACTGGCTTACGATGAACAAACCGAGATGCTTAGATTTTCTAAAGATTATACACCGGCACAGAGTAACGCTAAAGATTTGTTTATTAAATTGAGTAGAGAAATAGATAATCTACATGAATATAGATTTGTCATAAAAACTATGAAGTTTCCCAAAGTTAAGTTTGACTGTAGAGATGTTGCTAGGGGCTTTTTCAGAAAGTTTGTCATCTTTGCAAAACAAAGCAACCATTCAGAGGTTGAGGAAATTTTGAAAATAGATATAGAGAAACAGTTAAACATGAGCTCACATAATTATTCAATTTCACCTGACTCAGTGTTCTTGTATTACCATAATGAAATCCAGAAATGGTGGATGTCACCGAAAACGGGCACTTATCTGACAAAAGCGACCAAATTAGATCAAGAGGCAATTAATAATATAGTAATGGAACCACAAATTAGTGCATTACAAATTATGTTTCACATGAATCATTTAAAGTATTTCGGTTACAGCTTTAATGAAGATGCAACCAAGTGGTTAGAACTATCCACACTCCCCTCTAAAACATGCGTAGCTACAGACACGGTTGCACTGACCACTGTAAAAGTGATTCAATGTCTAAGAAACTATTATTTGATAAATAATTACGCGGTCTTAGATTTAAAATGCCTATTCGATTTGTCAACTGATGTATTTTCCTCATTGGGTAAAGAATTAAAAAATACTAAAAAAACAATAATTATTTTGTGGAATACACTTCTCAATAACAGTATACAACATATTAGATTGTATGAACTTGTGCAGGCAACGCAACAGACACAGTTGTTTGTTGTCACAAACAGCCAATTAATTAAAATTTTGTATGATTTTTTCCCATGCACAAATGTATTACATGATCAAACACAAAGTTTGGCTGCGTTAACTCTGGAGTCACAGAGAGAACTTATAAAGGACGCTAAAGTATTATTTCAGGGTCAAGAAGTTAGCTTAAGTTTATTTGTGGATGACGTGTCAATGGAGTATATCAAAGGCGAAGTTTTGGATAAAGTAATACGGAATGAATTCATAATTATAGGCACATCGCTCAGTAATACCAAATACGAAGAAATAAAACATTTGTACATCGATCGAAGGATCAGTGAATTCAATGAGGCTTCTGATGACACTCATCCTAATAGCTACCTCGTGAGAACGTTTCAGGATATCGACGCTGATGCAGTTCTTGTAACTGCTGTCCCAGGGATGGGCAAGTCGACACTACTCACTCATTTATCACTAAACACAAAGGAACGTGATAAACGTATCTGGATAGTCAGGATAAACTTATTGGATCACTCGAAACAGTTTTACAAATGGCAAGCGGATAAAACTGTCCTAGATATTTTGGAAATTTTGAATTTTCTTTGCCGCGTTGTAACAAGAAGTAATGATGTGTCAATTTATTTAAAAGATGATAACGTCTATTTAGAAAGGGCTAGTGGCGATGATTTGGCTCACTTTGAATTAAACATATTTCTGCATTTTTATAATGAGAGAAAATTAATATTTTTATTTGATGGTTTTGATGAAATATGTCCGCATTACAAAAGTACCGTAATTAACTTTCTGCATATTGTTAGAGATCATCCTCAAAAGAACAAAATATGGGTTGCCAGCCGCCCGTATAGTGACATAGTACCGGATCTACAGAAAGTGTTAGGCAGATGCTTTAAAATAGAACATTTAAGTATCTCTGAGCAGGAGTCCTATCTAGATAGAGCCTGGCAAGAGAGGTTGATATTTGAGAAACTGAACGATATACAAGAGAAGAATTTAAAATCCTTCGTAAGTGACATATCACGAACAATGTCTACCGGTATTTACTACATGGACACTCTACACATTTGGATTCGCAGAGTATTTTTGCATTTCTATGAGTTTGCATATTCCCACATCGGCTTCAATGGCTTGTCACAGGAGACGCTTGTGATGGCTAAAACAAACAGTGGCGTGACTGAAGACGTGGACGCGCTTGCCGGCACTCCGTTACTTCTTTATTTCATAGCAGATTACATCGTCAACGTTACTGACAAGTACGAACCTCGCGGTGACGGACAAGTATATATTAATATACTCCAAATATATGAAATGTTTGTTGAAAATAAATTAAAAAAAGTTATCTTTCAAGACAAAAACAAAATGGATATTTACAATCCAGACATTATTATGAAATTTGAAAAGGAACTCGCCGACTGCATGTCATTGCATAAAAGAATAGCAGCGAACGCTCTGTTAGACAAGACTGTGTACAGTGGCCCTAACGGTGAGGAATTCAAAGATTTGAACCCGTACTTTAATGATCTCGATGATGTAATAAATAAAATGAAAGTGGGCGCGGATAAGACAGGTCTCGTATCTCACTTCACACTGGACAATGTGCCGGTGTTTATACACAGGACGTTCGCTGAATACTTTGCGGCTGAGTACATATGTGACGTACTAAAAAATGAGAACATTAAGTTTGAAACGAAACGAAACTGGTTAAATGCAGTGTCAGAGTGCTGCAGTGAAGATGTGTTCATCTGGGTACGGTTCAAAAGTAAATTGGACAGGGAACTCACACAAATCATCAGAAACATTGATAACACAGAATCATTTATTCTGTCACTTATATAACATTATGTTGTGTAATTCATTATATTTTCTTTTTATAATTCATAAACTTACGTAGCAGATAGTAATGTTACATTTTGCCCCAATCGAACCTGTAGCCCTTCATGCTGCACTTGGACTCGCGACCGATGAACGTTGGAGCAATCACACGGACTCACATGAAGACTAGGCATATCCATAATTAGTGTCTCAAGTAATTAGCGCTACATGTGCATTTCTGTTTCAGTCTTAGGATGTATTGTTTACACAGATTACCCCCTAATAGATATCGCATTATTGAATATTTATATTGATTCGAGTTCACGAAATTTGGTGGTATGCAAGGATTGCGGGAGACGTGTCAAATGCGCTGTGATTGGATATTACTTGGAATACACCGAACTATAGTGATGGGACAGGGTTGGAACGTTGGTCGATGAATTTGGTTGGATGATCTGAATTATTGATAGTAATTTTATTTTCGATTTGTTGGTTATTGATAAATAAATATATTACTCAATGTTTACTTGATATTTATAATTTAGATGTAATTGTAATAGTAATAAGATATTATTGAAGTTCACGTTACACTAAAATAGCAATTCAAAACAACAATTACATTGCATCGAAATTAAACTACTTTTTTATTATTACTTTTACATGTTTTATGATTTATAAATCCGTTAAAAGTGTTTAATTCCGGGGTATCATGTTTCACTCAATCACTTACTGCTATTACTGTGTAATCTACATTGTTAAAAGCCCATACCAAAACTGGCAAGTATAGAGAGGGTAAAGCGGAATCCAACAGTTTTCTACGGTTTTTCTACTTTTTTACGGCTCTGCTTCCGCAGCGGTCAGGCCCGCCACCTGCTCCGCGGAGCCCAGCTGCGTTGTAGGGGAAGCTGTGTGTGGGTGGCGGCTCGGAACGATGGACCGGGAACTGGCCTGAGAGGCGGCTACTACGAGACGTCGAGCGATGGGCTGCTCTCGACAGCGGCTGCGTACCGCAAGTTACGCGGCCATAACAGCGGCGTTACAGCGTACGCCGGCTTCCCGAAGATTAGCACCGCGCAGAACCCAATCGTAACCTACGTTCTACAGGAGCAGCCCAAGGACCGACCCCTGTGGAACGCCGCAAGACATGCCCCTGCGGACCACCCCACCTTGGGCCGAGTAGATGATGACCCGGTCCACAAAGTAGTCCGCAAGGACGCGCCTGAGGTACCACGCGACATTGTGGTACCTCAGCGCCTCTGCAATGGTCTCCCAGGGGAGGGTGTTGAAGGCGTTGGCTATATCCAGCGATACGGCAAACACCACCTCACCCCCAGAGACCGCTTCATCGACGCTGTCCCGCAGTCTGGATACTGCGTCGAGGGTCGACCTCCCGCGACGGAAGCCGAACTGGCCATCACTCAAATTGGGCCCCGCCCCCTCCAGGTGGCCGACGAGACGCGCAGCGAGCACCCGTTCAAAAACCTTGCACAGCTCGTCGAGCAAAACGATAGGGCGGTAAGTCGACGGCAACTCGGCTGGGCGCCCGTGCTTTTTAAGCAGCACGAGCTTGCCGGTCTTCCATCGTGTGTGCGTTACCCCAGCAAAATAATGTCGAAAATGGTCATTTAAACGTTATAGATAATTAGTTGCCCCCCTTCTGTAATTGTTAAGCACATTTTTAAATTTGTTTCTCTTATATTTTTTTTGTTATTTCAAAAAAACATTTCCTGCTGGAGTAACGTTTGAAACGTTACCGCAGCCAGACATTTTCTTTTTTAATTGTAATATTGAAATAAATTTTAGCTAAATAATTAGTTATCTGGACTAGGTAAATGTTACAACTTATTTGGTATTTGTATTTTCTTCGGCTGCGAAGTTATTCGAAATCCTGCTGGGGTAACGTTTGTGGGTTTGCTGGATCTCTGAAACGGGTAAGCGGATTGTAACCATCTTTTGTACATAACTTCTTAAGGATTAGTTTTAATTTGTTCGACAATAAAATAACAAAAATAATGGACCGTTTAAAAATTATTTAGGTAAGTATGAAAACACTTCAATACGTCCTAACACCTTGAATAAGACCTCTAAAGACTTACTGTAAACGTTATTCTATTGCTTGTAACTGCCTTCAAATGTATACGAATTTTCGTTAGTATACTGTTAGTGACTAAAAAGTTATGATGAAATGTAGCTCTCCACGTTCACGATCACAATGTGTGCGGCCTTTTTTGGCCACCGATAAACCTGTCTGTGGATATATAAACTCAATGTTATACCAATAATTAGTTGTTTAGTTCAGTTGTCTACCTGTAAAATTTCAGCGTCGTACATATAATAATAAGCGAGATAATTAAATAAAAGTCATTAGAAGGTGCAAGACCGTGGTAACCCGACCACGTTTAGGTGGTTACGAAAAAGCGATCACCCAGTACATAGTGCTGTCTTTTAAAATGTTTAGTGTAATACACCTTACGATTTCGGTACAGTTGCGTACAGTGTTAAATACATTCAATATTTATTCATTATTATTACCTATTATTTATTATGTTTTTCCTAATTTTCCTAATGGATCTTAAGCACAACAACAGAAAATCTGCACTGGCCCGCTAAAATTATAAATACGAACATACATGTATGAACGATTCTCCTGACTGCAATAAATAGAAAATTTAAACCAATAGGAAATAGTTCATTTGATTGATTTTTTTTGTAAAAAAATAACGCTGAAGTAATTGTGTTTTATTTTGATGTGTATAGAGCTTTGACTTAAAAGCATCATATATTTAAATCAAAAGTCATCTACAATAAGTTAAAATAGACCATAATGGTAGAAAGTAGTTGAAATTAGAATGCATCAACATTGCATCGCCCAACAGTCGTATACCTCGTAAGAGTAATATCACGGTACAATTATAATACAGTACTCCAACTTCATACAAACGGACGAAACGCGAGCTATACCTACGCGCCTCGATCTCGGGGTGCGCTCGGGCGCAGACAGTCACGGCTGTGCCGGAGTGTCGAACGGACGGTGTGTTGTTTTTTTAACAATAACCGCGCGATTTTTTCTCTAAAAATCAGTTAATATGACGAGTAAGAAATATTGTGCTGTTTTTGGTTGTATGAATTCGTCAATAACGCATCCAGACATAAGTTTTTTTCAATTACCTGCAAACTCTGAAAGGTAAGACTATAAAATAATTTTACTTACTACACACATTATGTACCTACCTAAGGTACATAATGTGTGTCTTTTTAATGGCTAAGTATTTCCTTTTATCTCACGAAAAAAAAGGTGTTTAGATTAATAAATAAAGCGAATTACTCTAACGGAAAGTTATTGAGACGAGTTAAATAGGTAGTTATATGCGGTTCTGAATGAATCATGTTACGGTTGGTACCTACCTACTTACGCTTGTGTTAAAACTTCGGTGCATGTGTGTTTGTTACTTTGCATAATTGAAAGTAAAGACGTGGTATTTTATTATTAATAAGATTTGTTTATTATCTGTGTGTATGAATAATACTAGAAAAAAAAAATTACCGTCTGTGTGTCATTAGATAGTTTTCGAAATTTTCACAAAGTGTTTCTGCTACTACTATAACAACATATACCACTAAAAACTGGTTTTATTTTCTCGGTATTAACAACAACAGCTAGACTCATATATAATATTTAGATGTTTGAGGGTTGTCATTTTAAAACATTCGTAGTCAGCTGTTCAGCTTTTTAATAATTAATTAATTGGTGACCAAAGAATTTTTGTTTTGAGTTGTTGCGAGTTGTAGGTAGGTACCTAATTTATAGAGACGTTAATAAGCTGAGATAAAAAGTTACTTACTCGTCAGCTGTTTCTTGCATTCTAGTTGAGTAGGTAGGTGTTGGAGTTTCTAAGGATTGGAATTTTGTAACGCGTAAGGAGAAAGCACATTTTTTTTTATTCTATAGAAGGATTTTTAAGCTATTGCATGGGTTTTATGGCGGGCTCTGAGCGCGGCGCGGCGCGGTGACCGAATCAAGAAATTCTCAAAACCTAACGAAAAATATCTGACACCACGCAGATTTTTTTCTTAAAAAAAAAATGTTATGCAATAGCGTTACCGCGGCAGTCTCCGAGAGTGCCACATGTATTTTTTTTTTCAGACGTCTTCAATGGTTGCAGCTGATCCCGCGAGATGATTTGGAAAACAAACCTAACTTTAGTTCCTACCAAGTTTGTGAAAAACATTTTAATTTGGAGGATGTATTACATTCATCAAATAGAAAACTTTTAAAAAAGAATGCCCTACCATTGTTGATGCTGCCAAGCTTAGCTAGTACTGATCCAGGAGTCTCTCTAAAAGAAGATAAACAAACCCAAACTGCTCCGTTGGTAGGAAATGAAAATAGTACACAGACTGAAAATGTAACAAATGAAATCTTTGCTCAAACCTCAAAGAGTCTCTATAGCAACACTCCAAGAAAAAGAAAATTGAAACTTGAACTCCTCCAATGCAGAAAGAAAATAAAATAATTAAATCTACCAATCAAAAAACAACACGCATTTTTATTGAACACTTCCTATTCAATATACAAAGTATTTCATTTATTTATATAAAAAGGATATTTACAATCACAAATCTAAATAGAAACAGAAAGTAGGCAAATATAATTCGTCGACCGAATGGCGTAGTGGTTTTTGTAACGGACTTCTATTCCAAAGGTCGCGGGTACGATTCCCGCTCAAGTCAAACATTTGTGTGCATGAACATTTAATGTTTGATTTGGTCTGGGTGTTTCTATGTATAATAAGTATGTATTTACAAAAAAAAAGAAGTATATATGTATTTATATCAGTTACCTAGTACCCATAGTACAAGCTCTGCTTAGTTTGGGACTAGATGGCGTTGTGTGAATGTGGTACAATATTATATTATTATATATTATATTATATTATAATTAAAATGCTGGAGACGGGCAGCCCTAACGCATGTTTACGTACCACGCGGCTGTAGGCATTTATTTCTATCATGCGGCCGAGTTA